TTCTCGAATTTTCTTCTAATCTTTCTTCTTCACCAGTCCATTTGAGACATAATTTTTCGGGATTCCCTTCTAAATTTAATATTTCGACTATTCTTTCATTTATCAAAGTTACTGAAGATCCTTCATCTAGAAAAGCATAAGTTTTAAATTCTTTATAACCATTTTTCAAACATACTGGAATAATTCTAAAATTAACATTGTTTCTTTCAACTTGTGTCATATTATATTCTGTTGGTTGTGTTGATGTAGAGCAATCTTGTGAGTTTTGATTAACCTTGAAGTTTCTATTCTGATCAAGTGAATTTCTTTTTTCTTTGAGGTTGTTTTTATAATCTTTGTTGTGTAATAATGGATGGTGTTTCAGTTGGCAAGAGTCTTGATCACATTTAACAGGATATTTACAAGGATAACGATGCCTTTTTAAACATAATCTACATAGATAGAATTTCTTTACAATCTCCCATCTCTTTGATACAGAACTTTGTGTAAATTTTTTACATTCCAAAGCATTTCTGCAATTATCATTACAAATTTTGCATTTACTGATTGAGGTATCATGAAGATGTATACGTCCACTTTTATAATTATTATTATGTTTGTCATTATCTTGAAAAGTTAAGTTTGGTAGTGCTGTACAAACGTTTACACTCATGTTAAAAATCCATTCAGCGAAATCAGACAAACCATTAAATTTAACAATCGTACTTCTATACAATGCCCAATTAACTTTAATTTGGGAGGGAAGTTTTTCTATAGGTTCATGCATTAATGTCGGATTATTCAAATATTCATTCAAATTAGCAGCTTGTAAAGATACACATAAATTTTTAACTTTCAAACCAAATTCCACAAGTGATTCCAATTTTTCTACTTTGGGCGAGGGTTGATTCCTAATTAGATTTATATGTGCATTTATGATCTGCTCTGGCCTTCCATATAGAATTTTAAGTGTTGAAATTATCTGGGGAACACATTCTGGTAAAATTAAAAAGCTTGCTACACTTGTTTTCGCTACACCTTTAAGACATTTTTGTAATCTGAATAAATTCTCATCATTGCTCAAGTTATATAATTTTGTAGAACGTTCAAAATTGCTATAAAACAACGGCCATTCAGAAGGATTTCCACTAAATATTGGTAAATCATTAATCGTGTTTTTTCTTATTGCATTACATCCATGCGATATCAAATTTGTCGATGGCAATTGGTTAGGTGAAGGTAACATGTTAGTTGGTTGTGTTCCAGCTTCCAACGGGAACTGGTCTGGCAAATGTCTGTTAGTTTCAACTAAAGGAGTCTTCTGTATTTGCCTTCCTCTATTATAAACAGGTGATAATCTTCGTAAACGGGTTTCGATTGGTTCTTCTTGAATGTTTCTTGGTATAATATTTTTTGCTAATATTCTTGGTTGGTAAATTTGTTGTTCCTGTAACACGTTAGAGGTGAAAATTTGACACTCGGGTAATGTGTCAATTCTATTAACTTCTTCATTAAGCAAATTATCATTAAAATTTTGTAGTAATTGGAATGTATCTTTTTCTTTCCTGGATATATTATTTTCTATTTGTAAAGACAATAATTGATTGGCTTCAAAATTATCTTCTTGTTCTTCTGCATCACTAACATTTTGACTTTCATTATTAATTTCTTTATTTAAGATTCTTCGAGACTCTCTGGCTAATTCTCTTTCTTGTCTCAAAAGATCTCTTTCTTCTTGTAGAAGTTGTAACTTCCTTTTTGCTCTACTACTAATTGTTGAAACAGTATTACTTTTTGTATGATGAGAACGTGATTTTCCCCTTTTGGAAGTTTTTTTATTCTTTTGTTTGCAACTTGGAAAAATCCATGAGTCATTCTTTGCCACATCATTAGATACATTCACGCATTCATAACAACACCACTTTTTGCATTCAATACACTCGACCATATTTTCTTCTCGGTATTCTCGTTTACACACAGGACAGAGGTCATCATTGGAGCATCCTTTACTTGTATTCGTAGTTGGAGCCATTTTTAAATGTTGACCCAGTAATTATGTGCAACTTACTCGAATCCAATTAAATTATTTTAATATGGTTTTGTGATCTTGTGAGAGCTTACGATACCCTCGGTGTAGGAATATGTGGTACCAAACTGGGCAATTATTCTGTCTCAATTGACTGTCTTTCTATTTCGCCACGAATTTGAGCTTTGTTGGAAATGAGACTAGATTTGTAGTGCCTTTCAAAAATCTATAATTTATTGCTAGCTGTGCTAGTAGCACTCAAATTCCTAAAATGTATATAAGCTCATAATTTTATAATAATAATAAATACAAATAACTCACGCTAGCCTCTATAAATTCTCAGTTCTGAGCTTAGATTTTTAGTGGATTTCTGACAAATTTAAAATGAATTTTGACAACGTTTCTATTTTGCTGGTTAATTTTACAACAATATAGAGCGCAAGTACTTTTCAAATTAATCAAACGAAACAAAAAGAACAAATTAATAAACTATTCTTAACAAGTGGTATAAATAACTTGTTCCTTAATGTCAAAAAGACCCGACCCAAATAATACATTTCGAACCAAAGCAAGAAAATTTGTATGTAGGATATGGAGGGGAGGACCTAGTATCACAGGATTGTGTGGAATATCTGGGTATAGTGCTAGATGGGAATCTAAATTGGACAGAGCACATTGTGAAACTGTCTGGATCATTGAGCAGATATGTGTATGCTCTTAGAATGCTGAGAGATAATTTTGGCTCGGCTGTGTTGCTCTCATCTTACCATGCTTTTGTGCAGTCCAGAATACAGTATGGGATTGTTTTCTGGGGAAACTCAAGTGATGCTGCAAGGATTTTAAAACTACAATAAAGATGCCTAAGAGCCGTACTTAAACTAAAAACCAGGGACAGTTGTAGGGAACACTTTATAAATAATAATGTACACACTATCTATAATCTATACATCGTGGAAGGCATATCATTTATTCTTAAAAATCAAGATCTATTTGAGAACTTAAAAATAAATAATAACTACTCAACAAGGAATAAACAAAACCTTACATCAAACATTGCACTCTTTACATTTATCCAGAGAAGTCTCAAGTACAGTATCCTGAAGATCTGGAATAGACTACCTGTTGCGTTTAGAAACCTACCCTAGAAGCTGATAGAAACAAAACTTAAAAAAATCTTGAACACAAGGGCCTACTACACAGTCGATGAGTATTTTGAAGATCCAGAGGTTAGGTCACTTGGATAAGTGTTCATGCGCTTTTCTGCCAACAGATCTCAAGTTCTAGTCAAATTTTAACTCCTCGTTATTGTTTTTTTTTTTGTTTTTTCTGTTTTTTTTTTATGTATAATTGGTGATGTATGACAATATGTCTTTGTTTGTAAAAGGTTTTATTTTAAAATGTTTCTATGTATGATTGAGATATCATTTTACGGTTATTATTGTTATTAATTTCAAACTATATATTGTGTATATTTTTAACTATTTTCTATATTATATTGTCAACTAGCTGCTTGGGAAAGGAGGACCCGGTATTCAACCTTATTAATTTAATTGCCGATTCGATCGAATATTTATTGCAATTCAGCAACAAATTAATATAAATTGCGCTGCAAGCCGCAGCAAAGGCAGACTTAAACCAGTGCAAGTACCTCTCGTTGGAAAAGCCCCTCTGGAATTAAGTCTCCCCAGTGCAAGTACCTCTCGTTGGGAACGCCCCTATGGGTATCTTCAGCCTTATCGTTGTCCAGTGCAATTACCTCTCGTTGGGAACGCCCCTCTGGACAAGGCATAAGGGTGACGATAAACTTATCTACAGTCCCCCAAGCAGAATTGACGTATGGCCCCCTATAAGGACCCCAGTGTACGAAGGGTCATGTATCTTATAGGATTAGCATACATGTAAGGTTATATTTGGGAAAATATATAGCATATATTTTTATATAACCTGAGCGAGTTTCTCTCCATCAACCCCCAAAGCTACAAACCCCCATGTCACCCCCGTAAAGCGGGTAGTTGTGACAATATATTTCTGACGAGATTTACACCCGCTGAGTAGATATACAATGTTTCGCATTTGTAAAAAATCGAAAAATAAAGTTCTTTTCTATTCTATTCTATTCTATTATTCCCCAAATGTTAGTGACAGGGTGTTTCTGGACTTTTTCGAAAATTAGTGTGGAGATGTAATCCATATGTAATCTGTAACTAACTGTGATATTGGGTGACCTCAACATTGATATACTTCGTTCCGATACTCACCCTACAAGATTAAAAAGAATTATTGATGATAATAAATAATGTCAGTTTATAGACGAAGTAAGAAGATCATCCACTGATGGAGGAACACTCATAGATCTAGGAATCAATCGTATAATGTGGTGTCAAAGGTATGTCACATACCTAGAATACGTTATTGCCTTTAGAAATATAGTCTCGACCTGCAAAACTCCACCGGTTTTCATACAAACTAGAAACAAAAATATTGAATATAAACTGGTAAGACATCACTTGTATATTAGCTGGGAAATTATGTATGGGTGAATGGATGTAGACTATAAGTGTTAGTTGTTCATCAATATTCTTACTGAAACACTAGATACAGTTGCCCCTTTGAAGTCAATTAAAATTCACTCCCGTTATAAGCCATGGTGGAACGTAAGGGTGAAGAATGCTGTGAGAATAAGAGATGAAAGCTACAAGCATTTTAAAGATCAGAAAACTGAAGAAAGTCATAGGGTCTATAAATAAAATAGAAATGCGGTAGTGAGAATTAGAAGAGAAGAAAAAACGATATTTTTTGAGAACAAGGTTGATCATTGTAAGAATGATCCTAAAAGTATGTGGGCAACATTGAGACAGGTTTTTCCTGCTAAATAAAGAAATCAGGACAAAATACATAAAATAGACTTTAATGGTGGCACAGAAGAGGATGAATTAATATTACCTTCAGTTATTGCAAAATGATAACTTGACACTGTGATAAATTCAATAATTACCGTTTATTGTCAGGTTCTACAAGAATCAATTGCATCACATCAATAACCAAAAACCTTCTCATTTTAGTACCATCCTTATACAGAACCGTGCAAGCAATCAAATCCGAATTATCTGAAAAAAGGAAAATTTTACAGGTTTACTTTGTGAATTGTGAATTAAAGCAATCACTTTTGTGATTGCCTAATTCACGTGGTTTAGGACACACAACGCGATATACTCAAGTCCAAGGCCTGTTCGATTTGTACGCAGCTTTGTGGATTGGTCAATGGCAGTTGAGTTTCCATTTCTCCGTTGAGACTCAAGGCAGTGATACGCATCAGGAAAAACAGACGAATTGCTCTTCTAGCTTTTTCACTCTTAAATAAAATGTCAGTTTATTAAGTTTTTACATTAAAACTAATTATTACCTCGCCACATGGTAGCCGTTTAATAAAATCGATTCCTGTCATTGGGGTGCCTGCAGGTGGGAGTAGGATTGCACTGTCCATGCATAACCATTCGACGTTTAGTGAAGATTTTGACATATCACAGTATCTAGGAAGAGTTAAAATTAAATTCATTTCTTGGACAACAAAGACGAGAAACAGTTTTATATGCATGTTCAGCAACGCCGCATTTGAGCTTGTGCTCAGAGCACCAATCACGGGTGTAACTATTTCTGATCCTCGAAAGACAGCTTTGAGAAAACCTAGTAAATTTTCCATCGCTATTGCAGAATCATTAACAACCATAGATGTCACTGAGGAAAAACTTATTCAAGCAATGGCCGTTCCTAGTGAACTATTTTATTTACAATTTTCTAATTTAAATACATCAAGGCGGCTCGTAATAAATTGGCAACTTATGGTGAATGGGTCGATGTTTAACGGGGTTGTGTGAGTCGAACTTGAGGGTGGCAAGGTTTCTGGTCAGGGTGGGTCCGTATGGATGGTGTTTATACCCGCAAGTCGGTGCACTTCAGTCGTTCGGGTGTCCATTGATACTGAAAGGGCGTTCTTTAGAATTTTATTTTGGAATACTTGCAGCTTTTTCTTCTGAGTGTTGGATATAAAGCTCCAAGCAGGTGCTCCGTGGAGTAAAGTTGGTCTTGTAGATGCTGATTTTATTTTTTTGGGCTCAGAAAAGAATTGGTCTGATCATGACTTTAGTGTCATTGGATTGGTTTTGGGTATGTCGGCGATGTATAAATTGAACAGGCGGTGGGTGAGAGGACTGTGCCCTGGAGCACTTCGGCCCGAATCGGTTTGGTTGGGGATAGCGAAATTTGATGTTGAATGTTCTGTCATTAAGATAAGAGACAATTAAAGAAATCGGGTGGAAAGGTAAGTTATGTACAGTCAGTAGTTTGAAAATAAGGCCCTTGTGCCACACTATTCAAAGGCCTTCTCTATGTCGAGTAGATGCTCTATCGGTTAGATATTGAATGTGAGTGAGGCACAGTGTTGCCAACTGATGGGATGTGGAAATATCTAGATTTGAAAAAAAAATCAAAATTGGAGAATGGACTATAGAAAACTTAATGAAAAGACAATTAATTATAAGTAGGTATCCCTTACCAAACATCACAAATATACTAGACAAATTAGGTATTAGGTCGCAGTAATTACTTTACAACCTTAGACCTGGCTTCAGAATTTCATCAAGTAGAAATGCATCCTGATTCCTGATTCTATATAAAAACCGGCTTTTAATTTTGAAAGTGGTCATTTTGAATTTCGAAGAATGCCATTTGGTTTGAAAAACGCACCAGCAACATTTCAAAGAGCAATGGACAATGTATTACAAAATAAAATATGCTTGGTATATAGTAAGGCATCTTGAGCCACCCTCGCTACTGCTAGAGTCGTGTTATGCTGAGAGCGGAATCTGTATTGTTCGTCGGGCAGGCAGTTCTGGAAGTGGAGAGTCTACGTGAAATGATTATTTCCGCAATTTTGCTTAGGTAGTTTAGCAATGAAATTGCTTCTTGTTGGGATAAGTCTTTGCCAGGTTTTGGGAAGACTATTACGCTCGCCTGCTTCCAGGGCTGTGGAAAATGCTGGAGAGTCAAGACTGTGTTAATGATAATGCATAATAGTCTTTCGGGGGAGGTTTTTGACCATTTGACCAAACAGCTGATCTCTGATTTGCGTGACGTTGCTTGTAATAAGTGTTACTTGCAGCTCAAGTTCGGGGATGGTAGTTATAAGGTCCTGCTCTAAAAAGAGAATCTAGCCCGGATGAAATAGCGGCAATGTTTTTAATAAATTGCCAAAGGACGTTGGCTCCAGTGATAACCGGCCTCTTGCAGTCACTAATCAATATGTAGTGCCAATTTACAAAAAAGGAGACAAGCTCAACCCAAATTACAGACCAATTAGCCTTACCTATAACCTTTGCAAGATCATGGAAAAAATGACAGTTCAGGAAATGACAACTTTTTTTTGTTAAAAACAAGATTATCCCACCCACCCAATCATAACATAACAGTGAAAACAAGGATATAACAATATACAGCAATAGTTTCATCGGCGTTGCCGCTTAATGCTGCTCAAACCTATAATAACAATAATTATTGAAAACTTACTCATGTTCAAACATGTCCAAAAATATCTCTTCGCTTTTATAAAAATTTCTGAGTAAAGCTAAACTCTGAGACTTGCAAGATTCAATTGTAGGCCTGTGTTGATCCATCAATATATTTTTGCCGTCACATATTACAAGTTGCAGTAGCAGTTTTAAAGTGATTTCTAATGTAACTAGCCTGACTCTGAAAAAAAAAATCAATTTGCCTTACTAATTACTTTAGGGCCAAATTATGGACTGACTGATAAGTGTCAGGTTGTTACTTATTCTCTAGAGCCTGACACTTATCAGTTGATTCATAATTTGGCCCTTATGCAAATGACTTACCTACAAGTGGGCTGACAAGCCAAAGTAACTATTGAAAGTAATTTTTCTACCAAATAAACATTATAAGAATATTTTACATCTTTTGACGAAAAAGATTTTTTAGGTTTAAGCACTTGCTCCAAAACATCAGTAGTAACTCCTTTATTATTAGCCATAGCATAGAGCAAGCACAACCCAAATAGAGCCGCATAGTCGTTCTCATTACAATCCAAAGCACTATAAACAGTTTCCAAAAACGGTTTTTCAGTTGCCACAAAATCCGAAGGATTTTTAGCCAGCTTCTCTTTTTCCTCATCAGTAATATTCCTTAAATCCTCCACCAAAGTCTCTTCATAACTATCCTCTAGCAGCTTTTTTTCACATTCGTAATGCTCCAACAGTTTAGTAACTCCTTTTTCAAATACACTTTTATCAGTTTTCAATATAATCCAAGCCAAAGTTTGCACTAAAGGCGAATGTGATAAAATCAAAAACACTTGAGATAATAAAAATAAGGCAACAACACAAGAAACCCTGCCTGAAGTTGGATCTTGAAGTCTAGGGCTATCAGGGCCTGAAGATGAAGACCACAATATTTTCGAAACTGAGCCTTCTGCTATTGAAGATGTTCTTCTGTGAGTTGCCAGTGAATAAATATACAAAGGTATGAGCAGTTTGTGCAACAAATGATCAGTTAGCACATGATTTAGGTCTGTTATATTCAAACAAAGAATGTCATTTAGGTAATGTAAGTGATCCAAATGTTCAGCTACTAAATCAGCCAGTCTATTTTGCGAATGATGGTCTGCTTCATTTCTCACACACATGTCTAGTTCTTGGATGTGTTTTCCAATAAACCAAACAATGTTTGAAAAATATGGAGCGGCAGTTCTGTCTCTTATAAAACCCAGCATACTGGAATCTTCAACTTTGTAGACATTTAGAGTTAGGGTGCGTACCGCTATGCGTACCATGGATTCTGGATGGTTGAAGAATTTGATGGCCTCAGTATATAGAGGAAAATCATTGGTGTGTTCATTATAGAAAAAATGAATCGTGTGAGCATTTAGTTTTAAGCTGAGAGTCTTGAGGAACGAAATATAATAAGCCATTACTTCTTCGTCTGAGAAGTCAAACTTGTGGACTATAATCGAGTTTACGTGGTTATTAGACAATAGATAATCTGGAATTTGATAATTGTATTAATTATTGTTTAATTAATAATAATGCTGACTTACATAATGAGGTTTCGTTTCTGATATTCTCAAATAATATGTTTAATGTTTGCAGTAATTGAACACATACATAATTGGAGCCTCCGCTTCTTTGTCTCATTATTCTCAAGAAAAACGAAAGCATGTTTTTCTCGAGGAAAAAACTAAATAAAACAGAATTAATTAGGTAACTTTTGATGGTATGAATAAAAATGAGCATTTAGTTTCTACTCCAAATTTTGGAGTAAATACTTCACATGGTATGAAGAAAAACTACGAGCAGATATTTTGCTTAAGTAGGTACTCCTCCTATGTATAATTTGGTATGAGTAGATTCTCACTTTTGGTATGAATAAAAAATTGTTTGTGCTCTTCAACAGGAGAATCTACTCCACAGTTTTAGAGTCTGCTATGCAGTAGACTCAACTTTCTGCTTCAAGTTATTTCAGCACCGATTTTTTCTCGGTAGCCTGTGTTCGTTTACAAAGCTAGAAAAAATATGTGTGATCGGGACTTTAAAACGTTGTACCGGTTTAGTAAAGAAATTGTGGAGTGGTTATCAAATCAATTTTTGGGTGAAGAGTCTGGAGAAAGAAGAGGTGGTGCTTTATGCAACAAAGACAAATTTAAAATATTTTTAAGATACGTGGGTAGGAGTAGGTGAGGATGTTGGTGTTCACCAAACTTCGGTATCTAAAGTTGTATCGGAAGTAGCTGATAAGATAATTCAGCAAAGTGAACGGTGGCACAAATTTCCCTGCAGTCCTGCGGATATAATATTATCCATTCACAATGCGATGTCCACAAGTATACAGGTAAAATTTATTTCTTTTTCAATGCTATTTGATAGGGAAAGGTGATAAATTTACCTGTACCTGTGGATATCGGATTGTGAATAGGATATAGAGGCGAAAGAGCGGTGGCAAGCAAAATAAAATGTTGAGTATCTACTCTATGTACTAGGAGTATGTACTTATCAAACCGAAATCTTTTTTAGTCTTACAAAATGGAGTATAAGCTCAGACTTCATACTCATGCTCACGAGTATATACTCCGAGTTTAAACTCAGTTTTTATTCATACCACCCAAGGTCTTAACTTACTCAAACACAGAAGAGTCATTTTGGTCGCCCCATATGAGAATTTCAGCTATAGAACGTAAAGTTTCAACCAGCAAACCTCGGTTATGTTCCGAAACGGTTTGATTGCGAGACAAAACATTGTACAAGTATTTCAGGTGTTCCAGGGAATGGGGGTTCTTGGGTCGGCCCCAACCACCCCCGAACCAGCTTCGACTCCTGAACATTTCGAAATGGTTATTTTGCTAGAATATTCTTACATGTCATTGTTTTAGATTATTATAGCACGGTGCTCAAAGGTCTGAGTGATTAGGTGGATAAGCAAAAGCAATAAGTTTCTGTTTTTAATTATTTTTGATAAAACATCATTTGCAATCAAAATAATCAATGTTTTGACATATTTGACAAGGCGTTCTATTTAAAAATGAAGTCTATAACGGCGTGAAGTTAGCTTGCAAGAGTTCCGCAGGTTGCCGAACGACCATTGGCGGAGGTTATCAATTTAAATGGATTAAAATAAAAACACAATTTAAATAGGAATAATTATTAATTATACAATCTCTAAACAGGGCCTATTTTACCAAAAGGCACATAAGGCCCGGGCCTTGGATCCGGTGGGGAATGGGGCCCCGAAAAAGGCTTGAAAAAAAATTAACATTTCAATTTGGAAATGAAAAACAAAAAAAAAAAACGTCCGGTATCTGGAAAGACTTTTAGGCCGGCTTCACACAGCCGTAATGTCTTTTTGAATTCAGAAACGGAATTCATAATCTGCATTTATAACGTGCAGAATTGTACCTATACAGGGTGTTCATTTGCATTGGAGGAGAAAAATTTTCGAGAAAATTCCTGAAACACGACAACTATAATTTTAGGGGGGATGAGTTTTCATGCAAAATTCACCTTCCCGCTTCAATTTTGAAGAGTTTTTAATTCCATACATTTTGGTAAAGTGTGTTTTTTTTTTAAAAGATAAAAATCAAACTGACATTATGTTGGCAATACAATGTAAAACTGTCAATGCTTTCACATTTTCTATGTAGAACAGGCATGTGTTGCCAACATACAGGGATGCTATTTCTAGTACAATTGTACTAGATCTAGCACAATCACGTTTCACCTAGTACGCTAGTACCTCTCTCATAAATCTAGTACAATTTAGAATACAAGTCGAGTGTCGCTCTTCGCTCTATATCGTACCCGAGTTCTGTACTCCACTCTCTACTTTTGGGTTGGGTTTCACGTTCCGGTCCCATTACGGTGTGGCTAAAGCCAAACAAGAAACTGGCGTTTCGAATATGAGGCAATTTTTGGCGAGAATATTCAAGCATAATCTGATTATGCTGGGTTATGTGATGTGTCAATTGTGTCATACTTCCCTAACTCTCTTTCCATCAAATTCTGGGCCTGCGAAAGACATCACTATCAGAAGAAATTAGCAATGATGTCACCGGCAGACCTTAATCGAATTCTTGCGATTCAGGCTATGCTAGTGAGTTAATTTTTTCGTCGATTTTAAATGTAGAAAAGGTGATTTTCGGTCTGTTCTCACAGAACAAATTAGTGTTCTTGATCCTCGAGTATCCCAGAATTTGGGAAGTTTTTTATTCTGTCACTTGACGTGTGTCATGAATCGGTGGTTATTCTATTATTCAGCGGATCATGGTAATCGGTAGTCGATTTATAACTAAATATGTAGAAATTTATTTATTTCCATCATTCAGGGCCGGTTTCCAAATAGGAAGTCACCCCCAGGGTTAAGGATAACTCTAAGTAAACATTGCAACTAGACACGTTATTGAGAAACTAGAGGTGAGTTGCGATTTTACGAACTGTGACTTTGTCAATGCTACTCGTCTGTCACAGTCACGGCCTGCTCCGGTCCCACTCAAGTAGCAGTGACATTTTGTCACGGCCACTTCGATCTCTAACCGATACAGTGCGGACTAAACTCAACTTAAAGTGATGCAAATAATGAAATATTATTATAAATCACATTGCGGTAACGCAAAACAGAAACTGCCACTGCAGAGGGTAGACTGGAACATTCTTCTCGGCCGTGACTGTGAACTGAGCGAACTGCGATTATGTAATGTACCATGTATTACCAGCACGGCCAGTCAAGTCACTGTTATTTGTTACCGTGACACGACTAGAGCAGTCACGTCTTCTCACAGTTCCAGTAAAATCGCAGGTTGGCCCACTTCTAGTTAAAACCAACCCGGAGGTGACTCGATATTGAAAAATCGGCCTACAGGGACGAAAAAATGTAGCAACCCTGGCACAAAAGTTGCAGCAACCCTGACGCAAACGTCAAAAAATTTGACATGTCAAAGTCAAAGTAGGCCTTGTAATTTTTGACAATTAATTCAAAATGGCGACAATGGCGTTTCTTTGTTTTTTGTTTTGAGAGCCCTTTTTTTTTTATTCAGAGCCTCGTTTTTTCAGCTAAATTTAGTGTTTTTTAAGTGCAAAGTAGCTCTAAAACCCTCTGAGTAGGACAAGGAAAGAGATAAAGTAGGATGTAATTCAAGTGCTCACTTTTTTTAAAAGAGGCAGAAAAACCTTATTTACCCCTAATTTTAGTATTTGAAACTAGAAATTTGTGGATGAAAATGAAGAAAACTCAAAGGCTCGTACTTAAAATCGGTTTTTCCGATCGAAAAAGCACTGGAAAAGCGAAAAATCCAAAGAAAATCCCGTAAAAATTACAATCCAGAGTCTACTTAATAAAACTTGAGTTTTTGTCACTTAATCCATTGGAAAACTGTAAATTTTTGGCAAAAAATGAAGGAAATTCAAAGCATCGTCTTCTCAATCGGTTTTTCCAATTGAAAACGGCCTGAAAAAGCGGAAAATTCGAGGAAAAACTGGATAAAAACATTCAAAAATGACCGACTGTCAAAACTGGGAAATGACATTGCGCGACGTTGCCACATCTCAATTACATTTTGAAGTTTTTTGTTTAAATAATTAATTAATAATGTTTATAAAATGATAAATTCCGAAAATAATGCATTGGAATCTTATTTTTAATAAATTTCAATAAAAATGATATACCAAGGCCTGCTTAATAGTAAGAAAGACAAAGAGGGAGATGAAATAGGAAAAAATTAAATCTAAAAATCGAAGTTTTTGGTGGAAAAATGAAGCAAATTCAAAGCCCCGTTTTTAAAATCATCTTTTTCTAATTGAAAAATGGAAAAGTAGAAAATTCAATGGAAAAACCAACATTCCAAAGCCTACTTGAAAAATCAAAGTTTTGGTCACTTACTCCATTGGGAAACTGGAAATTTTTGGTGGAAAATAGAGAAAACTCAAAGCCTCGAACTTTAAAACGATTTTCCCGATTGAAAACGGCCTGGAAAAGCGGAAAATTTGAGGAAAATCTGGACAAAAATGTAAACTCGTCAATTGAAAATGGCTGACTGTCAAAAATGGCAAATGACATTTATTACAAGGTCTACTTGAAGTTGGCTACAAACGATGTTGCAACTCCAAAAAAAATCATTTAAAAGGGGATTCTACTTGCAATCTAATAATTAAAAACCCGTTAAATAATTAATTAATAACGATTTTAAAATTAGAAATTCCTTAAATAAGTTCTCAAAAACTTGCTTTTCAATAATTTTTTTTTCACTTACCTTTTGACTGTAAATAAATAGATCTAAAAACTGGAAATTTCTAGCAGAAAATGGAAAAAACTCGAAGCCTCGTACTTTAAACTAGTTTTTTCAACTGAAAAAACCCTGAAAAAGTGGAAAATTCGAGGAAAACCTGGATAAAAATGTAAACACGACACTTCAAAATGGCCGACTAATAATTTGGTAATGAGTATGACAAAGAGAGAGATAAAGTAGGATACTATTTTAGTCTAAAAATGGAAGTTTATGGTGAAAAATTGAAGCAAATTTAAAGCCCTGCACCCAAAACAGTCTTTTTCCGTTTGAAGGAGCCTTCGAAAAGTGGAAAATTCAATGGAAAACCAACATTCTAAAGTCTACTTGATCAAACCATGGTTCTGGACACTAACCTCGTTGGAAAACTGGAAATTTTTATTAAAAAAATGAAGGAAACTCAAAGCCTCGTACTTTAAACAAGTTTTTTTGATTGAAAAACCGGAAAATTCAAGGAAAAGCTGGATAAAAACACTCTGCTGTCAAAAGTGGCAAATGACATTACATTACAAGGCCTACTTGATTGAAAACAACGTTGCCACAATTACAATCTCAAATAGAATGATTTTCCTCATTTTCCAACAAATAAAAAAAAATAATTTTTAATGTTAATTTGATTGTATTTTCAGCAAAAATAGTATGACAAAGAAGTAGATAAGGTAGGATACATTTGCAAAAACAACAAATGCGTTTATAAATGAGTGAAACAAAGAAGAAGATAAAGTACTTCTAGTACTCCAGTACTCAATTTTAGAGGTGGGTTGCGATTTCACGAACTGTGACTTTGTCACTGCTTCACCGATGCAGATGCAGCGCGGATTAAACTCGCGTCAAAGTGATACAAATAATGACATATTATTCTAAATCGCATCGCGGTGACGCCAAACAGAAACTGCTACTGCAGAGGAGGGCAAACTGGGTGGACTGCGATTATATAATGTAGCATTTATATGTATTATCAGCATGGCCAATCAAGGTGAAACTGTTCCAAAAAATTATTGCTATTTATCACCGTGATACGACTGGAGCAGTCACGTCTTGTCACAGCTCCAGTAAAATCGCAGATTGGCCCACCTCTATGAGAAACCGACCCTAAAATAAATGATATTTACCGCCATTTAGCAGAGCTTACATTTGTATTCAAATTTCAAATTTGATGCGCTTTCAGCTAGTACACAATGTCGCCAATCTAGTACAATTATTCCCACTTTCTGGTACAATTTTCATAGTGCTGATAGCATCCCTGCCAACATAGTTACTAAATTTTTGACTTGGGGAATTTTCTTTAAAAAAAACAGACTTTACTAAATTTTAATCCCTAAGTTCAACTGTTTTGAAAATATTGACAGTTGCAAATTGATTGGTTAATTTTCGAGGAAAACCGATCCTACGTTTCTTAAGCCTAGTACTCATAACTGCGAAATTCGCAATTTTTTGACATTGCTTCGACAATTTGACGTTTAATTCACGCATAAAACGTCAATTTGTCGAAGCAATGTCAAAAAATTGCGAATTTCGCAGTTATGAGTACTAGGCTTTATCTTAGATTTTCATAAACTATCATTTGACACCAACTTTAAATTTAACCGGAGATTAAATTTTTGATCATGGATTAAATTCAAAGTTGTTATTGTCAAATGATAGTTTATAAAAATCTAAAATAACCGTTTAGGTTTTACAGCCTGTCAAAATTGCAATAGATTTTTCTCCTCCGAGATAATAGGGGTGATAAGTTTTAAAATGAACACCCTGTAAAATGTCAAAAATCCTGACCAGTAAAGAAACAGTAATGCGACGTACGTTTTCGTAATCAAAGCAATCTTCGATTGGTTTTTTTTGTTGAAGATATCTATAATGAAGAAGCATGATATTTTTTTTGAAGGACCTTTACTGAACTGTTACCTTTTACGGCCTAAATATGTATACCAAAAATGAACTCAATCGGACTACGCCTTCTATCCTGTTCCCGAGAGCCCAAACTGAAAATGCGGAGTTGCCGTATCTCTGAATGTGTATGATCTTGAAGGCTAAAACTCGGTATATAGGTTACTTGAGATGCCTTTCAACACTATACAAGTTTTCAGCACGTTAAACTGCCATTTACGTGAATTTGATGGTCAAGGTCAGGATCAAGGTCACAGTCAAGGTCATTTTTTTTTTTGGAAAAATTTCTTTTGACGTCCTATATATGTGTACCAAAAATGAACTTGATCAGAAAATGCCTTATAGCCCGTTCTCGAGAGCCCAAAAATTACCTTTTAATTCAATATCAACATACAAGGACTCGCACGCATTACGTGGACGGGTTAGTTTGGGCTAGTTTGCATCATACTTTTGGTTAGTTTGAGTTACAGTCAGTGGCGGTCCATACAAGATTTTCTAGGGGGGGTAATGGGTGACGGGAAAATGATCAAGTGTCGCAACGTACCGCCGGTGGCGAATTTTTTTTTGGGGTGCCACGCCCAAATTTGCATTTGAAAGTCGTTTAAAAAACACGCTTCGGGTAAAAATGTTTCCCGATGCCATCAAAATAGTTATACAGGGTGTCCACTTAGTGCGATATCGGACGATATCTTCTGACAGGGTGATGCAAGAAAAAAAAATAAAAATTCAAAGTTGTTTGATTCTCTAAGGTGAATTACTTAAAAATAATTTTAAATATAGGTACAGGGTGCTCTGTTAATGGGGTATACGACAGAATTTTGTTATTTTTAAATGGAACACCCTATATTTTAGTACATTCTATTGTTCTAAAAATCCTACATACTTTTTGTTAGGAATCATTTATATCAAAACTCAACCGTTTTTAAAATATTTAATATTTTTTCAAAAAATTACAGCTTGCATGTGTCAACAAAAACAAACACATTTCGTTCATTGGAGATCCTATCAGCTAAAGCTTTTGCAGGTTGTTAGTGCATAATGTCGATTTTAATCTAATACTCCAACGGACTTTGAATTGGTGCCTCCCTACATTAGAACGCCAATAATTACTTGACGTTACACCTGCCATATGAAATGCCCCCTCGCTCCTCATACGGAAAGTATCAGTTTAAAAACGACGGACTTCACTCACATTTACCACATGGTCCGATGAAAATCTGTCAACATTCTACAGGGTGTTCGCAATACCGTACACAAAACCAAACATTTCAAACAACCCAACCATAACTTTATGACGTCATCTGGGGTGCCTCAACATAATGCAAATCTGCATAAGGCACCCCAGATGCGTCAGCAAGTTACCCATTACCATAGACAACTTATGAATTTTAGGAACTTTGGTAGGTACATCGGTACTGGTCAGCCTATCATATTCATAGGATGCCTTTAATCCTTTACCATGTAAAATGTAGAACTTGTCTTTTGTTGAAATTTTGTTGTAATTAAAAAATGTATAAAAAAAAATCTCTATCTGGGGGGGGTAATTACCCCCTCTACCCCCCCCTTTAAACCGCCCTTGGTTACAGTTCGGTCAATATCTACTGGTTATGTTATAATATCTACTGGTTTAATATCTACTGGTTATGTGTAAGTAATTGTGAATGTAAATATTCGCTTACTACGTCAAAAAACGTCAATATCCGCACTTAAATTGATACAAAAGCAACTGCATAAAGGATATATCAACTAATTTTTATAGAAAATTTGTTAATTTTTGTTGCACTAAAGCGTTTTGCACCCCACAGAAACAGAAATGTTGGTTTTTTTGGAGGTAAACAACCTACATAGAAATCGTAATCGTGCCACTGTATGATGCTCCACACGTGCTCAAGGAAATTAGAAATAACTAGATCAAATATGACGGCCATTCAAATGGGAAAATGGACATTTTCAAAAAGCAGATTGGAAATAGTGTTTCAGTCAGCTCCATTGAGTCAGATACGCCAGATCATCTAGATTATAGACTATTTCATTCATTAAGTGATTCTCACATAAATATATGAAAATAAAATTAATAAAATTTTAGTTTGAAGTTTTGGAGCACTGCTTTATTTTGAAAAAATTGAAATGTCAAACCAGTCATTTAAAACTGAGATTCAAACGGCCCGCCAAATATTAGTTCATTGACTACACCGCTATGGCAGCACCATCGGAAATGTCACTTGGCGACTACAACAGAAGTGAGCGTTCTATATCAACAATATAAATCACTTTTCTATGCTTCAATCATCTGGCTTCGTCGCAAGGGCTTTAAACTCAAGTGAGTAGGAAACGACTTAGACCCATAATGCAACAGAGAGGCGGAGCTAACGAGGGTGTGATGTATTGTGGGTTGCATAGTAGTAGGTAATAAAAGCCTTGTTTTTTTGAGGCTTTGAAATAGACCTATCTCCCATGATTAGAAAAAGGAAGCTTCATTGTAATAAATACAAGTTAGAAAACAATAAAAGATGACATGCGCGCGCAACTCGTAGGCTGCAGTGTAGCCAGATTGTATTGTTGCAGAACAAATGTAGGTAATACAAATCGAACATTATAACATTAAAGAAGTTTTATAGTCTCAAGTGTTTCACAACGCCTTAAATCAGACAAAAGAACAGCTTTAAAGCGGATAAACATCGTTTGCACTTTTATTTTGATAAATGTTTCATCCGGCAACATCGCTCAATGAGATTGCAAAGGAATATGTCAAGTATAATCTAACATAACCTTAAACGAAAGGTGAGTTCAAGTAATATGTAAAGTATTAGTTTGCTCTTTGTCAAATTACACGTTACAAAGAAAGAAGGAACGATTCATTCTGAACTGGCCCCTGAATAAGAATATGACGCAAGCCTGTCATAAACTTGCTTCTCATTGGACGCTCACCTGCAGCCTACAAGCGACGCGCGCAATCCAGGTAATAGGAGATCGGTCTATTGTGATCAGCTAGCAGAAAGTAGAGGTATAGTCTATCGGTAGTCAAATGAGACAGTAAAAAAAATAATATTCCTTTGGCCGTCGGCGTTTTCTTTATGAAGCACCGGCGGAGTAAGGGAAATTTATTAAAACAGTTTTATATAAAATAAAACATGAGGCACGATACAACTCAAATAGGAATCAAATTTATAAAAACTATCTACTGCACTGCACTGTCTTTCCAGACGAAACTGATTCGCAAAGGGCGGCCGCTACAAAGAAATATGCCGCCAAAGAAGCCGCCTCTTCAAAGAAATACGCCGCTAAAAATTCTAACCAATGAGATATTCCTGGAGTCAACGTTGACTGTATAAAACAACCAATGAGATGCGTTGTTCGCCAGTGAATTCGCATCCAATGTATACGGGCACGCTCAATATATTTTTCCTAATAATAGTATAATAATTTTAACGGGCAATATGATAATTTGAGGAGACCCCAATTTTTGCCTTGTCTCATTTGAGAAACGATAGACTATACTACATGTTGTCTTATTTCATCTTCGAAGGAAACGCTACGTATAATTATAATCGAACTTCACTTTAGGTAAGTTCGTTTGATTATTTAAGAAGTGCTGCTCCCATTGAGGCTGCTCCGAACAAACAACACAAACAAACAAATCTCGAGTGTCAAATGACTCTTGCACTGGTTCGCAATATCAGTTGTATTCCTTTCAAGAGTTTGAAACACTCGAGCTACTCGCTCCGGTGTTCAGTCGCCCCCCGATTTGCAGGGAACAGATGCGTGGTGCAACAAACACTTTTCGAAAGGAATAAGCGCGTGAAGCCCCGGAGCTACTCATAGGTGTGAAAGGAATACAACTATCGATAATATGAACCATACTCATGGGCATATCAATTATCGATATATATCGTATCGATAAGACCTCCTATAAACATAACCGCAGTTTCTTCATTCTTCAAATCCAAACAAATATACGAAAAACAAAAAATGTCTCTAGAAACCAAAAATAATGACGAACCCGATGAAAAGTTCACCTCTGCCTTTGCCCATTTGTACAAAACCAACGGCCAAACAACCAGTGAGCTGTCGCAGCAAGAAAGACGAGAATTCCTACTGAAAGAGCAAAAAGAGAAACGACACAGCTTGGTTGACCGGCAAAGAGACTTGTCTGAACTGTTTTCAGAGGAGGAAGATGAAGTACCAGTGGAAGACATGGAAGTGGATCCTCAACAAAAACCCAAAAAAAAAGATAAATTTTTCCTAATGTTTTCCGAATGGTTTACAGATGTTCCAATAGATTTGGAAGACAACTGGCTAGTAAAATTAGCCCCTGAAGGCTTCCGGGTATTAGTCATAGCTAAAAAATTCCGCACAGTAGTACTTAATGAAAGAGGTAAAGTATTAACACTAAAAACCCATTTCCCTGGAGGTGGCTTGAACAAACACCATGGCCTTACAGTATTGGACTGCATTTACAACAAATCAACCCAAACAATTTTTGTATTAGATTGCCTATTTTGGAATACTATGTCTATGCTAGACAGTGAGACTACTTTTAGGTTTTACTGGCTGGAAACTCAGTTTAATGAAAATTCCAAGTTACTTCAAACAAGCAAACCACATAAGTTTCAGCTAATCAAATTCTTTCCTGCAGAAAAATCATTGATTCAACAAAAAGTGTTTGAGAAATCTACAAGTGTCTTGGACACTGGAATAGTGTTTTACCATAAGGAGTTGCACTATGTTTTTGGACAAACTCCTTTATTAGGGTGGCTTTATACTTATATGTTGCCGGAAAAATTAGGCATAGATGTGCCAGAGGAATTATTAAATAAAATGCCTAAAGATTACAAATGCCTTGAACAATATTTAGTAACTTTGGAAAAGAGGCAAGAGTTGAAAAGGAAATCATACAAAGAGAGGCGACAAGCAAAATCTAATTTAATGGAAACTTAATTTGTAATGTCTATTGTTTGTTTGTATGTTTTTAGCAAAATAAAGTAAATTATTTTATTCAGTTTCCATATTATTAGATTCCTCCTCTTCTTCACTACTATCATCTTCCTCCTCTTCTTCACTACTATCCTCTTCCTCACTCTCACTATCATCTGAACCCAACCATTCAATCTTTGAAGCATCATCTTCAATAATAACTTTCCATTCATCTAATTTTTTAAGGTCCAAGCTATACAAATCACTAAAGGTAAGTTCGCGTTCGCCGTCCTCATACATGCCTCCATACAAATAAAGAACTCCATGTTTGATTGCTAAGCCACAATTCATTCTAGGGCTTGGCTGGAACAATTTGATTTCTTCAGTGTTTGTTGTTGCTTCATTGGTTATGGGTGTAGGACCAATGGTGACTTTAAATACACCATCATCTGCTATTGTTGTTGTTGCTGATTCTACTTCCATTGATGTTGTTGTTTCTTCTTCATTAGTGGCTTTTTGCCTTCTAGGCTTGCTATCCTTTCTATTACTCAATTGCATTTGCCTCCAAATCATTTTCTCTAAATCCACCTGATAAAAATCATTAAAAAAATTACCAGAAATATCCTCTTCATCGTCCTCAACATCAAAAACACCTCCAAAACAATAAGCTGATAAATTATTTATAGAAGTGACAACAGGCATGCTGCATCTAGGACTAAAATGCTGTCCTCCAATTTTGACTTGTTGCCATTTATATTTAGTTTGGTCATGTTTATCTAGTCCCAAAACAAAGGCATCAGTATATACATGGCCTTTATCAACATCTTTTTTTAGCCTCTCTTTACTATATCCTCCATAAATTAAAATCCTGCCATCTTGTAAAGGCATCATGCAACAGCCTGATCTCGGTGCAGGAGCAGTGCCAACAGCCTCAATCTTCTTCCACTTATAACTTTCCAAATCAAAACAATAAACATCATTAAAATATTTATAGTCTCTTAAATTATCGTGAAAACCTCCAAATACAAATAGCTGCTTTTTAACCAAACACATCCTGTGCCCACTTCTAGCACTAGGCCCTTCAGGGCTAGTAATTTTCTCCCATTGTTTCTGAGCCACATGATAAACCCAAAGGTCTCGGTAATGGTAAAACTGAGACTGTGTAGGACTGGCAAACTCGCCCCCAAACACCCACATTTGGCCTTTGTTAGCTGAAGTGGCTACCATTTGATGTCCGCATCTCGGAGGCGGGCCTGCTGGGGCTTTTATCAAAGTCCAAGTGTTATTGGGGATGTTGTAGAAAAATAGATCGTTGTAGACAAAGGTTTTTTGGCCATTGAAGAATTCGCCTCCGTATAAAATTAGTTGGTCTTTGTCAGGGTGAGCGACAAAGGTGAAGTTTACACGTCGGGAAGGTGGGTCTACCTGGCATTCAGTGACTTGCAATCGTTTCTTTTCTTGGCTTTCGATTTGGGCCACAATGGATTCAATATCGTCCTGAAATCAATGCAAATATGTATGTGTATGTATTATAACTGGTTATGGGTGAAGTTTAATTTAATTTTCTCTCTGTACTCTGTACATACCTCTCCCAAGTTTTTCAGCTCTTTTTTAAGCTTGCTGCTCAATTTCTTGTCGGTTTTTGCTTGGGTTTTTTCGGCTCCTTTGCCTTTCTTCTTGTTCTTATCTTTTTTACCCATTTTTTGGAAAAATAACTAAATAAAACTTGCTTTTTGGAGGAAAAAATAAAGTGAGGTTAAGTTAGTCTGAAAGTTACCGGTCAGAAGAAGTTTTCAGTCAGTGGTTTTCAGATACCGCTTGACAGATGGCGCTGTAGACAATTGGATGTTTTAGGGTGGGTATTATAAAACTACTTTGAGAGTTAACTTCTGGAATAGCCCGCCCTTAGGGCGGGTATTATAAAACTGCTTTGACAGTTAACTTTTTGAATTACATGTAATTCCAGAAGTTAACTTTAAGCTAATTCTCAAAGTAGTTTTATAACACCCGCCCTTAGGGCGGGTATAGGATAGGACGGAGGCATATTAAATTTGACGACCAAGAGGATGTGCATTTTCTGTAATACATAATTATAGGTTTTTTGTTTTGTCTATGGTTTTTTTATGTTATATTTAGGATGACGTCATCGAACTGCATTCCTACCCAAATAAATATATATTTTTAACTACGACCGCTGGCGCAAACCGCTAACGATATTGTTGATGATGACGTTCGCAACGGTACAACACTATGAACATGACTTGATTCCAAAAATCGAGGTCTATGAGAGTAGTGTGTACTGTGTAATATCCTTGGTGTAGCCTAACAGAGTTCAGAAATGCATGCGTTTTCCAACGCTCTGTTTTTAAGAATTTTCTTATCACGTACGTAAGAACCAATTAATTTATATTGGTTCCGCTTCTGCCTGCCTTACAACATTTCTTTGAAATATGAGTTTCCCTTCGTTCCAGTTTCCGGTACAATAACGTTCCGGTCCGGGTCCCTGTTTCCCGACTCTTTATGTAATATACTGCAAATAGTCAGATAAACTAAAAGCGTTTTCTTGCGAAACGAATGGTTAGAGCTACAGTTCAAACCAATTTTTAGATGACATCATCACTGCTGAATGCGAGAAAATGGAAGAGTCTTATGTCAACGAAGAACAAGTCAGAAGTCCAGGTTCAATGTGACGTCACTAGTTCAACGCAAAAGAGTACAGCTTCAAACCTATTTGGACCGGATCCAACCACCCCACCAGCTCAAATCTGTTCTAAAAATTGTTCAAAAATCTGTTCCGAACTCGTTTACTATCAAATAAAGACCTGAACTGGATCACAATTTTAAAAAAAAATCCGAATTAGTGTTCTAGAACACATTGAACTTATTCTATTTTTTGTTCGTAATTCAATTAGAACCAGTTCCAAACTATATAAAGTTCAATTAAAATCAGTTCCAAAATGTTTCTTTATGTTCTAAAGATCTGTTCAGAATTAGTTCACGATCAAAAAATCTTAATATAAATGCCCTGGAACACATTGAATTTACTCTTTCTTATGCACAATTTATTAAGAACCGATTTTAGATCGACTCTGAACTGATTCTAATTTGAAATAGGTTTGTTCGGACTTAGTTGAGAATCAGTTCTGAATTGAACTGCGCTTACGCATTTATTCATATTGAACATACATTCTGAACAAACCCATTATTGTTACGATGTTCCAAACACATTGAAACGTTCGCAGTTCATTTAGGACCGGTTCATATAATTTTTGAACTGATTCTCAGAGTTCCGAGTAGGTGCAGTTCTGAACTAGAAAAAATCATGAACTAATTTATTATTATACGGATACGGTACAGGAGAATCGTAAATTAGTGTCCTGGATCATATTAACAATTCATCTAGAACCGGTTCCAGATCATCTCAGAATTGATTCTTAGAGTTCCGACTGCTATAATTGCTGTTCCGGATTCGGAAAAAACTAAACTGAATTGTATTATTGGAGCACACTGATTGTTCGTAATTCAAAGAAAATCGGTTCCGAGTAGATCTTGAAGTCTTGAATTGGTTCACAATCGAGCATTCTTTAATTTGTGTTCCAGATCATTGTTCGCGGTGCAACTGGAATCAGTTTCAAATCATTTTATTTGTTCTTAAACCCAAAAACCTGTTCTGAACTCGTTTGCTTTTTTATTTTTCAATATTTGAACTTACTCTATTTACTTCTAAGTAGTAAAAAAAAATACAATTTTGAACGATTTGCTTACTCAGAGTATTCCAAATATTGCAAATAGAGTAATTATATTCATGTTTGAGTATAAGGAGGGAAAAAAATACAACTTTTTAATGAATAAACCTACTCTATTTACTCTAAAATAGTAGTACGAGTAAACAGAGTTAAATTTAGAGCACTAAAACGAGAATCTTAGACCAAATGGAGTAATTGTTAACGTTGCCCGATTAGTTTCGAACATTAAAAAACCCACACTGAATCCAGAATTAGTGTTTTAGAGGCACCAATAAATAGGATTTGAGTAAAAAAGTCAATTGGAACGAAATCTCCTTTGAAAAGTAAAGTTTGTTTTTTATTTTAAGCTAATTTCTCAAGTCAAAAATTTACTAACTATGTTGGCAATACAAGCCGTTTCTACATAAAAAGCTTGAAAGCATTGACAATTTTACATTGTATTGCCAACTAACAAACTTAGTACTTGGTACCTAGAGCAAGATTCGCACACCGAAGTGTGTCGGACCCCCACTTTTTGAAATAATTTTCACACCAACAACCAGGTTCTCGAACGCAACCAAGCATTCCATCAAAGGTGCTGATAGTGACGTCACTTGCAGGCCCAAAATTTACCTGCAATGCTTAGTTTAACATGTGGTTTATACTTCCAAAACACAAAACGCACGTCAAATTAAACTTTTGAGGTTAAAATCAGACTCGTTATTCACGCGCCAAAGTTTAAAAAACTCCAAGTACAGAGCGCCCTTTACAACTCAATTTTGAAAATTACATGTCAAATTTCAATTTTCAAATCAGCCTACTTAACGTAAATGGATATTGATTAGTGGCATATTAGAGTAGTTCAAACAGTAACAATCAGAGCATTGCAAACAGAACAGAGTTAGAACATATGGAACAGAAATTAAAGCAATTGGAATACTTAGTGTAACTTGAAGAATAGAAGGAATTCGGCAGCATGTCGTTTCTCGCCTTGACGTAGGCTGCTTACATTACAGGCTACAACTACAACCGCTGGCGCAGACAAAAACCCACTCCAAACCCAAAGTCGGTGTAGGTAGCAAAATCAATACCTCTTTTTGCTCGAATGGTTCAGAGTAAACCGATTCAGATTTGCATGGTGCCCGGCTGCGTTTGGCTTTGGAGTGAACAAAGCGATCACGAAGTAACGTAACGTCATATAGAGTGCACCGTTCTAAAAAAACTCGTGCAAAAGTACCTGACAATACACTATCGAATCGTAGGTCGGAATCCGGGACCTGAACTTATCGTAGTTAATTGATAGGTCTTTTCCAACTCGCGAAAAAACTGTTCCAAAAACTCTGTATACGAAATTCGAATTCCACGAACAAATTTCCCGTTTTGCGCAGAATCCTGACGGTGAAATGTACGGTTCTCTGCTGGGTTGAAATTGGAACAAACCCAATAATAACTTTCGGCTTGAGCGCTCCCGGGCGGTGACGTCACAGATCTAAGCGAGAGTGGATTTAGGTTGATATGTTTTTTAATTCGAAATTTCACTCCATCAGAACCAAAATTATGAAGAGAAAATCCACTTTTATACCATTCCAAACTATACCGAACCGAACGAAGGTAGCAAAATCTTTAATACCTGTTTTTACTCGATGGTTCGGAATAAGCCGAGTAAGATTGGTCTATTGCTGAAGTCGAACACGTGAATCCGTCTGGATTCGATTGTATTTTCTCGTTCGGTATTTGAATCTAAAGCTGGATTAGGCTATTCAGCGCGGAGTTGGAGTGGAGTGACCAGAGCTAATGGAGTCACCCCTAATACAATAAAAAGCAATACCCGAACCTTAACCCGAACGGCTGGAGTGCGAATGGAGTCACTCGGAGTGCACGAAGTGAGCAAGCCGAACCCATCTTAGCTAAGTTTTTCTTGAATTTACCGTTCGTTTATTTAAAAAGTGTGCTCAGTTCGCGTTTGTTCATTAACTTTGATACAGTGTTTGACTGCTCTACGCGTTTGGTGGTTACGTGATCATAGCTCATTCGCTTCAGCACGCACTGCTCTTTGAGCAAAATACTGAATGCAAGGAAAGTAAACCGATTAAGGCCCAGTTGTACAATCCTGGTTCAAAACAGAGCTTAGCTAAACTCGACTGGTACTTAAACTTTCCCATTTAAAATACATTGCTGTCAGATATTTATAAAATTCTATCAATTTTGACAGCAATGCATTTTAAATGGGAAAGTTTAAGTACCAGTCGAGTTTAGCTAAGCTCTGTTTTGAACCAGGATTGTACAACTGGGCCTAAGATTATTTTCCTTTCTCTCTACTCCAATCCTGAACCTAGCGTAGGTATTTAGCGTAATCTTTAACTGGTTCGGAATGAACCGAGTAACACTACTTTCGTTGAGACAGAATTATTACTCCAAGAGTTCCATTTCAGGAAATGGAAAAAAGGCGAATATGCCTTGGCATCACACCATTTAAATCCTAATACATGTGACAAAGTCTACTATAATCCTGAACCCAGCGTAAATAACGCTCGGAGCTACTCAGAGCGTTACACTCGCATACTTGAAAGCGGTTTAGTTGACGTCGTTAACGACCTAGTTAATGACGTCGACAATGGTGACACACCAATATGGCGACGATTACCAAAAATGAGGCCGATAAGCAATCCTATCCTTGGTTAGTGATCATCTATCAGCTGATCCTAGTTTGTCCTCCATCTTGCCCGCACAGCCAAAACTACTAGAACCTAGTGAGTTTTTTTTTCTTTTTTGGTAATTTTTAAGTAACCAGACTTCAAATTTGTGCGGGAATAATGGAAATCGGTCAAATAATAATGACCGGCGACATCGAAGTCGATCACGAAGAGAATCTGGAAACCGTAGAAGACGCGATCCCTTTTCACTTGATCAACAATCAACAAACATTCAATGGTGAAGAACAAGCGGGCACTTCTTCTAGTTCTAACTCCAAAGGAGTGAAATATTATAAGCAAACTTACAGGCCTGCTTGGGAACTTATGCCTGATTTCAAAGGTGATTTCAGTTTTTCTGTTAGAATTATTCTAATTTTTAGATTTCAGGTTGGTTGAAAGGTGTTAAAGGTGAACCTACTAGAGCCTTTTGCACTTATTGCCGCAAATCTCTACACGCCCACCGGTTAAGTTTACTTAAACACACTTGCACCATAAGACATCAAAAAGCTGCTCAGCTACATCAAAACTATGATATTATTGTACTTTTTCAGGCATTAATCTTTTTTGTTACTATACATAATTATTTTCAGCCTGAAACTGTAAATAATATGTCAGATGATAATGAAATCCAAACTGTCATAGTTAATGACGATGGTTTACTAGTTGATCCATTGTCTTCAGCAGAAGAAGAAGAAGAAGACAATAATAGTAACAATGATGACGTCATATACAATGAACAAGAAAACTCAAATTTCACTGACTTAAAAGGCACATTCAATATTTTCCCTATATCGACAAATGTTACAGATATAACAAAAGGTTGTTCTGTAATTGGTCTAGCTGTAAGCCTGTATAAATTAATCGATGGCAGGTGGACTTATATAAATGAAGGTTTAACAGACAATAAAGGGCGATGTGCCATTTTTTTCAGCATCAACAACTTTTCAAGTGGCCGCTACAAGCTACACTATGATGTCAATAAGTATTTTGAGTCTTGTCAACAGCAGAGCCCTTTTCCTTTTGTCGAGGTTACTTTGTTGTTAATTTTACAAGGTTTTATTTACTGTTTTACATGTTTTTAGGTTGTATTTGATTGTCCTTCGGTGTCCAAATATCATTTTACTTTGTTGCTCGGTCCCAATACTTATACAACTTACAGGTCTAATATTACAGAATAAAATAGGGAGTTTAGCAACTTGACGAAATATGGAGAATAATTAAGTGAATAAGATTTTTGAAGATTCAAGAAAGTTAACTATTATAATATATATGTGTCCTTGATTGGTAGTTTTTGTAAAAAGAAAAGTTGAGATTTATATTTCTAAGAACTGCAGACTGGTATTGGTATTGGTTTTTTTACTACTAACCTGAGAAGTAGTAATTATTCAATCTAATTTTCTCGGAAAAAATTGACTTTCTCTCCCTAGGTTAATAATGAAAATGACGTCATGATGCAAGGATATTGTCATAACGTTACAGGTTTCTATTGGTTTAATTTCAGTTTCAAATTGTCAATAAAAAAAAAAAAAAAAACAGGTTCCTGTATGTATCATAGGAAATTACTATAAGCTGCTAATAGAGGGCAGCACTTCCAACAAGAAAAAATAATTTGGCCACAGATTTCAAGCCTATTTTTTATTTTCTACCATAGCAGTAGTAAAAAAAATTCTATATTTTCATCGGTAGAGAAAGTTATTATATACCTTAAGCATTATAAACTTCGGCGTGATTTCTGCAGAAACAGACCGACAGATCTTGTGTAATTCTAAACTACAACCGCTAATGCAAACAACTGACCAAGGAAGATACACTCTACTACTACAAGATAGCCTATCCTCATAAGGCCAGTGTGGAAAAAATCTGAAGCCCCCACCACGCCAAATCACCAATTGTGACGTAGCAACATGTTTTCAATTCTTTTTTAGATCTCGCTTTCATCTTCCTCTTTGCCTATCATGTTAATCAAAATTAAATATTTTTCATCATAAATTTAAATTCTAAACAACGACCGTTAGTGCAAATAGCTGACAAACAAAACACAGCTAATAAGCAATCCTTAGCAGTGTGTATTATCCTTGGGTCATGAAAGTAGTTCGTCGCGAAAATCTGGTTCTAATAAGGCCTATTCTCGACATGTTCATTAGTCTGCAGGTAACGTTATTACTATCAGTAGCTGATAGTTGTGACGTCACTCGCATACCTTGATAGATTACTTGCGATTCAAGCTGTGCTTTCGATTGTGAATGTAAAAAAGACAACTTTAACGTTTTGGGATTCGCTTTTTTGATCTACAATATAGAGAGTTCTCGTGCTGTCCAAATTTCAAATACCGTAACGCTATTTGACAAGTATGACAGCTCTTACGGTATTAGGCTATATGACGGGACTTAGCGGATGCCTTACCGTAACGCTATGCTATGTAAAAATTAGTTCATGCTCCATTTCCGTCTGCAAGAAGCAAGAATAGCAACTTCTAATAATTCCTTCATAAAAAACACCAAGGGAAAATTGATCAAACTCCATATACTCAAACTCAGAATCTTCAGAATAAATAAATAAGTTAGAAAACAAGCAGAAATAAGTTGGGTTAGATCACTTAACTCAGCTGTCAAAATGTGAACAGGGGATTGGAAGATTTGTGCGTATATGGTCCGAGAACCATGTGAAATACCGTATTATTAGCGGTACCGTATTAGCCTAGCGTCTCCGGCACGAGAACTCTCTAATGTTTTAAATTCGGATAATGCATTTCGCGCTAAGAGTTGAGGTCTGCGACTGACGTCACAAATAGTCGTCGCGTGGACATGGCAGGCACTTTCAGCTCAAGCAGTTCTTGGGTTAGAGAAACAAATAGGATGTTTCTTTGTAGTTGCTCTACCTATTTCAAAATAAAGATCTGCTAGGAGCTGCTATGAGCTTATATATGGGACAAGTGAACGCCAATCTGCTTGAAGCAAGCAAGCAATACTATATGGAGTTGGAGTATCGTACTTTAGTTTTTTTTCAGGTGTTTTTCGGCGTTCAAGTTATATTTTTGTTTGATTCAAATGTACACTTTGTTTCACGATGGTTTATTATACTTTTGGCATAATTTTTTTTCAAGGTATGACATCTTCGATGTTAAATGTATAGATCCTCGTGAAACGAACTGTATATTTTTTCATGAGTTCTAAGTGTTTTATAACCGGAAGGCCATTTTAATCCTGGTCTACACTATACTATCCAGTTGACGTCACACACAACCTCACTTTCGACTTTCGATGGGGGAACAAAAAAAGCGTTTGAAGGTCTATTTATAAACCATAGCTATTGCGTCAAAAATTACATAACGTCATTTTCGATAGGGGGACAAAAATGTCATTGTGAGGTTAAGTGTGTGACGTCAGCTAATGCCTAGTTAAAAACCATTTTTTTGAAGGAGGGCTAGACGGTGAATTTTCAAAATTTTGTGAATCACTAACACGAAATTTCCATATTCATATATACAAATTTCTAAAGTATTTTTACCTCCAATGTCAGCCGCCTGATTTGTGGTTTGGATCAAGGTTAGGCAATTTTGTACGAGGATAATCAAAACTGATTTGAGTTATGTGATGTGTCATCTCAATTGTGTCATACTCTCCTAACTCCCTCCCCATCAAATTCTGGGATACTCGAGGATCAAGAACAAGAACATCGAGGTCTGCTGGTGACGTCATCACCACAAGGTGCTGATAGTAAACGTCACTCGCAAGTCCAGAATTTGATAGGGAGGGAGTTACGGAAGTATGATACATCACATAACCCAGCATAATCATTATGGTTGATTATTCTCGCGGAACGAACGCGAATGAACCGGGTACACTTTTTAAATAAACAAACGGTAATGAATTAAGGGTATTAATTCGAGTTACTCTAAGTGTTCCAATTGCTTCAACTTTTGTTGTTTTATATGCACTAAATCTATTCTGTTTGCATTGCTCCGAATGGTACTGTTCAAGCTACTCTAAAATACTACTAAACAATGAATTTATTTACTATTACAATATGCTGATTGGAAAATTAATTATGGGTTTTTAGTAATTCTACCATGTGCACTGACTTTTTTTGATTTGTTCAATTATTCGAACTACCTTTGACTGCTCTAGTTCTGTTCCATTTGCACTCACTTGATTTAAGTTACTCTAGCATTCCATCGCATTAATTTTAGGTCTGTTCTAATACAATAGGAAACCGTACAATGTACCGTCACGATTTTGCGCAAAGCGTAAAATTTGTGCGTAGAAACCAAAATTCGTTCACTGAGTGGTTTCGAAATCGTTCATGGGACGGTTTTCAACGTGTTGAAACAGACCTTTTATCAACTACTTTTACTGTTCGAGTTACTCCAAATGTTCCAATTATTTTGTTCCATCTCCACTAACTCTGTTCTATTTACACTACTCCGATTGTTACTGTTCGAACTACTCTAATAGTTACTATACTCTGTCCAACCAACCTAGGGAGTGATAAACAACAAAACCTTCAAAAAGTTTCGTTACTATTGGTCATTTATGACACCACTTTACACTGTAGAGTGATGTTTTGTAAGATTTTGAAATAAATAAATGGCATAAATCAATGTTCAGTGTAAATCTGGTCGCCATTTTGACTCTGTCATACTCTGTAGGTTCGTTGGACAAAATATAGGAATTTATTCACTATGCCTGGAATTACAGAAGCTCTGCAACACCAAGATACAAATGCAGGACCTACAAGTCTGACTTTTCGTATTACAGAAGCAGAATGCATTTGCAGGTCGTCTGCAAATTTGCGCATGGTAAAACGGTCCCGTAAGTCCTTGCAATCACTTTGATAACTTTGGCATTTAAAACTGGTAAATCAGTAGCTCCCAAGCACTTTTTTCCGGTAAATATGACAAAATTCCAGATTTTTTCTGTAATTTGCTCGTTTCTGCAAATAGCGTACATATGCAAGTCGGCCATATTTGCAGAATTGCAAGTTTGCAGATGCAAATATACTGTAATTTGGCCCTATAACAGTATCGTGGGTTCAGAATCCGGCCCTTGATTCGAAAATTAATTCGGAGTTTTCAGTAATTCTACTCTGACTGTTCCAAATACACTGACTCTTTTCGATCTGTTCAACTTTCCAAACTACCTGTGAGAACATACCGAAAACCTCCTTTTCTAAATTAACTCACTAAGGGCGGGTATTATAAAACTGCTTTGACAGTTAACTTAAAGTTAACTTTTTGAATTACATGTATTTTCAGAAGTTAACTCTCAAAGTAGTTTTATAATACCCGCCCTAAACACAGCCTGAATCGCGAGCATTCTACTGAGGTCTGCGAGTGACGTCATCACTATAGGGTACTGATAGTGATGTCACTGACAGGCCCAGAATTTGATGAGGAGGGAGTTAGGAGTTCAATGATCTGCAATAATTTAATTTGAATTCCTTCTATTGTTCGAGTTACTCTAAGTGATCCAATTGCTTCAACTTCTGTTCTATATGCCCTAACTCTATTCTGTTTGCATTGCTCCGATTGGTATTGTTCGAACTACTCTAATAGGCTGATTTGAAAATTAATTATGGTTTTTCAGTAATTCTACCATGTGCACTGACTTTTTTTGATCTGTTCATCTGTCCGAACTACCTTGACTAATCTAGTTCTGTTCCATTTGCACTAACTCGATTTAAATTACTCAAGCATATTATCTGCATAAATTCTATTTGAGTTCCTTCTATTGTTCGAGCTACTCTAAATGTTCCAATTGTTTTAGTTCCTGTTTCATCTGCACTAACTCTGCTCTGAGTCCAGAATCCGAACCCACGATTCGACAGTATCGTTCATATAAAATAAATAGACGATATGACGATACTGTCTTATGGCCGTTTGCACCGATCATTTTAAGCGAGGTTTAACGATAATCAACGTTTCAAGTGATATTTTTACATGTAAAAATGTTGATTATCGTTAAACCTCCCTTAAAATGATCGGCGCAAACGGCCATTAGTCACCCATATTGTTCTTTTAATAAAATTGACAAAGATAGAACGCTCGTTCTCTTAAGAGAAAGCTGTTCCCTGGGCTACGAGAATATAGGCCCTGCAATAATTCTATTTGATTCCTTCTATTGTTCGAGTTACTCTAAGTGTTCCAATTGTTTTAATTTCTTTTTCATTTACGCTAACTTTGTTTTGTTTGCATTGCTCTGATTGTTACTAGTGAAATTCGGTTAGTCCTCAGTGAGCGAAAAAATAATAGTATCACGTGATCAGTTTTGAAATTTCAAATCGAAGATCACATAAGTTTCAGCCAACAGGTGTCATTTTTTAGCTCGCGGAGGATGAACCGAAAATCATCTTTACTACATTTAAAATCGATGAAAAAATTAATTTACTAGCGCAAGCATTCCATCGAGGTCTGCGGGTGACGTCATCACTATAAGCTGTTGATAGTGACGTCACCCACAGGCTCAGAATTTGATGGTGAGGGATCTAGGGGAGTATGACACAATTGACGCATCACATAACCCAGCATATTGTCCAGTATGCTTGAGTATACTTGATCATCCTCTCGAAAAATTGCCTATTCTACTTTGACTGTTCCAAGTGCACTGACTCTTTTTGATCTGTTCAACTCAAAGTATTCCATCTGCAATAATTTTATTTGAATTTTTTCTATAGTTCGAGTTACTCTAAGTGTTCCATTTGCTTCAACTTCTGTTTCATTTGTACTAACTCTGCTCTGTTTGCATTGCTCTGATTGTAGTGTTCGAACTACTCTAATATGCTACTAATGAATTTATTTACTCAACAGTGGGTTGATTTGGAAATTAATTTCGGGTTTTTAGTAATTCTACTCTGATTGTTTCAAGTGCACTGACTCTTTTCTGTTCAACTGTCCGAACTACTTTGACTCTTGTATCAATATTTTCTCCTTATACTAATATCGACATGAAAAAGAAGTAGATATTTTGGAAAAATATCGTATCGATACTTCGGAATATCGATAAACAAACCCATCTCTGATCAGATTATGGATTTTGCAACTGAAGAAAACAATGTTGCCAAATTGTCAAATTTAACTGAAAACTGTACCCAATTTACCAAGAATGATACACCAAGATACACACATACAGAGAAATAACATGCTGCCTACGTCATAACTGGTGATTTGGCTAAGTGAACAGGAGGGGGGGATTTGTTTCACACAGTCCTTATGGAGGATAGGCTATGCTGTAGTAAGCTGTGGTAATAGTGTGTATCATCCTTGCCAAATTACTGACACTGACAATGACACTGCCATAACATAGCCTAACAATAATAATGGTCAATACTCTTGTAAATTATTTGTGTGATAAAAGATAAAATTAAACACCTCCCAAAAAAAAAGATGTGATAAGATCACCCATTTAAATTAAATAATGATTTGAGTTTACACGACAACAAAAAAAAAAACATGGGTGGGTACGTGCCCTTATCGCAACTAGGAGCCATCCTACTGCGGATGATCTTCAAGGTTTGGGCCTACTCCGGACTAGTGCTGGTATTCTGTTTTTTACTCTATTACATGTATGGTGGATTATTTGCGATATCATTGCTCGTTTTCGCTGTTACAGGTAAACCTCTTTTTAAATCCTTTGCCTTGTATTTATTGTGTAAATTTTAGGTATTTTATACCAAGTTCAAGATAATCTGCTCTATTCTCCAGAACTACCAAGTCATTCCAGGGTTTACATACCAATACCTTCAATGTTTGGGATGCCATTTGAGAGTATCAACCATAAATGTTCAGATGGTGTGATGATTCATATGTATTTTATTCATCAGCCAAAAGAGAGGCAAAGGCTGGCACCTACTTTTGTATTTTTCCACGGAAATGCTGGCAATATGGGGCACAGGCTGCAAAATTGTGCAGGCTTCTATCACAATTTGCACTGTAATATATTGCTGGTTGAATATAGGGGGTATGGGTTGTCTGAAGGTAGTCCTTCCGAGGAAGGTTTATATTTGGATGCCAGAGCTAGTTTGGATTATTTGTTTAGTAGGAACGACGTTAATCATTCGGAGATTGTTGTTTTTGGGAGATCACTTGGTGAGACTTGATTTCTTGGTTTAGTAGGATGAAGCTTGTGATGCACCGTTGATGACGTCATAAAAGTGCAACATCACAAATAGCATCCTACTATAAGTACAATACATTTAGTTTAATTTTCTTGTATCTTTATAATTTTGTGACTACTTCATCATAGGTGGAGCTGTTGCCATTGATTTGGCCACCCGAGACAATTATGCAAATAAAATTTGGTGCTTGGTATTGGAGAATACCTTCACCAGCATACCAGATATGGCCAAGGTTTTACTAGGATGGAAAATATTACACTATCTTCCAATTATTTTTTACAAAAATAAGGTCAGTTGTTTACAGGGTAACTGTTATACAGACAGGACCAGGCTACTAGACACATATTAGGCTTCAATGGGACAAGTTAACTCATACCCATATATGTGTCTAGTAGTTTAATTTGGTTTGTATATTTTATTTTTATTTAAATTTTTTTTTAGTATCTTTCATGTCACAAAGTAAAACTCCTAAGAACGCCAACACTATTCATATCCGGCCTATCTGACGCTCTGGTACCACCAAAAATGATGCAAGACTTATATGAAAGAAGCGGCTGTATAAGGAAACAATTGTACCAGTTGCCAGCCGGTACTCACAACGAAACCTGGCAATTGCCCGGGTACTATCACGCTATTGCATTGTTTTTACAAAACTATAGAATATCGTCGCTGATGCGCCAAGCTAGCATGGACATGGACGGCAAATCGGACAGTAGCGGCGGCAGCATGTGGGGCGGAGTACAAGATATTTGAGTGAATTTTAAGTATAATTTTTGGCAACTTACATTGTGATTTTAGATGTAGCGTGAATGAATAATTGTGTGTTAGCTTGTAGGAAAATGTCTATGCACAAATGTGTTTATAAATTATTTATTGTGTATTTATGGCCTATATTAATAAAATTTCGTATTCTTTTATTGCAATTATTTAAATAAAAGTAACCCCGGATGTAAGGTATCACAATGACGTCACCAATAAAGTAACCTTTTTTTGTCTAATATCCTTGCGCTCCATACAAAAATATATCCTTATCCTTGTCTTTTTTCAATAAGTCAAACAAGGATAGCAATAGTAATGAAATAAATGCAACGTTTTTTGACATTTTATTGACAACTATGTAGGTGTTTTGATTTTTCATTCATAAATATACCAAGTTTTTTTTTTCAGATTGTTGCCCCTTTTTCCTACTAAATAAAACCAAAATAATGATTTTTCTTAAATAAAAATGTCCTAGTTAACGAAGAGGTTGTCTTCGATAAGTGCCAGATTAGATGATACCAGCTGTCATGAGTTCCAGGATAAGGTATGTGTATGTGTGAATGAACTTTCCTTTGTAGTTTGCATTAAAATTGAAAAGTAAAAGGCCTAGAGAATCTTGGTTAAAAGGCAATTTTCATGTTACCACAATAGTTAACTTGTTCTGTATTAAATTTCATCTTTCTACAGTTGACTTCCTGTTTAAAAAAAAAGTTTCTACACAAAAGTTATGCGTCATATTTACTGAAATTGGACTTTCCTAATCGAAACAGGAGGTCAAAATTAGTCAGAAACAAATCCTAAATTTCTTTTAGAAGGTTGGTTGCAAGTCTCAATTTTGACCTCAGTAGACATTTTCTTAAAATCTGACATGGTCTCAAAAATTTGCTCACAGTTTTGGTAATTTTCAACGAATCAACTTGAATTATGGATTTTCTCAAAGAGAATTAAATTCTCTATAAAACCTCCAAAAACTAAATCAATTGCTTTTATAGGCTTTGAGAAATTAGGCTTCAAAATTCCAGGCTCTTGAACTTTTTTTTTACATTACATTACAGGTCAAGGATATTACACACAAGATAGCCTATTCTTATAAAAGCTGTTTTACAGCTTGCAAGAAAACCTGAATGCAATTTCTTGCACTTTGTTTTACACCTTGCAAATTAACTTATTTTTAACCTCAACCATACTTTTCTGTTTTTAATTCTGTGTAGTTGATGTTCGCATTTTCCTCAAGAAAAATGGCACAAAACTGATTGCATGCAATGCCAATCAAGTTTTAAGAATCTGTGACGTCATGGATTCATTGCGAGAATATAGGCATTTTGTCACGTTCACTTTTTTGAAACTGGTTCATAACTGTTTATCTCGCGATAAACCAAAATTGATTCAAACCGTTTCGAAATACAATCCAATCCACGTTTTCAAACCATTTTCTCGCGTCGAGAAATTATGACGTCATGGTGACATTACCTAAACCAGTTTTGAAAAATGTTTTGAAACATTTGAGACACGAAAAAGCTCAAGTCTTCCACCATGCCATAGTACCAGTGATGACGTTGGCAGCGTGTTGTTTCTCGTCTTGAGGTAGGGTGTTTGCACCACAAGTTATGATTCCGCGGGCTTTTGTTTTATGCATACAAAGCTCTGTTCCACCGTCCACCAGTGACGTAAGCAATCCGTCCACCAGTGATACAAAAAATCATGATGACATTGACTGACAATCAGTTTTTTTTAGCAGTCAAAAAGTTACGATATCAAGAAACTCAATTTTTCATTTTTTCTCTAGTATGCTCCCTAGTTCACGTTATATTTAAAGGGGGTGTGCGCCAAAAAAACAACTTCATCTCAAAAAAAAGAGAAAAAAAATCTAAGAATAACAGTGAAATCCGCACCCCTCTATGACAAATAATACCGCAGATATGGCTCTATGAAGGTACCGCATCTCACCCTATGACGTCACGAAAGCTCAAGCGACGCACGAGAAAGTGCATTTAATTAAATTTACATAATGTTTTTCCTGTGTTACCTGCAATAATCTAAACAAAAACCACTCACGCGTGCCGGGAACAATCAAATTAACAATGCAGAGCGCATATGGACGAAGTTTTCGTGACGTCACGAGAGCGTCGTCCACACTTTAAAGTGGTATATCTCAGCGATGGTTTATCGTAGAATAACGAGGTTTAAACAGTTATTCTTAGATTTTTTTACACTAAAACTTTAATCTTTGGCACACACCCCCTTTAATTCCTTAGAGAGTTATTGGACGTGCAATAGGGACAATGAATATTTAAATTAATCTTATTTTGACATCTACCTACATCCTAATAAAACTACTATTTGTCTTTATTTGTATGGTGCGAGGCAGTAAATTTCCCTTATTTTAATATTTCTGACATTTTTGACGACTTTGACGTTTTCTTTTCGACGATGACGTAATTTTACTTGAAGAATTTGTTTTTTACAATACTGTAGGTAAGTAATATCAAAAAATGGATATCAGAGTATCAGCAGAAATTAATTAATATTGTTCTCAAATACACATAAAACCCATTTTACGTCGTGTTTACCTATATTTGTGTGCCAATGACCGGCCATTTTGGATTTCTTTGACAGGAGGTTGGAATGCCTAATTTAAATAACCGTGCTCCAAGCTCGGTACCCAATTTGACATATCAAAGTTATCGTGACGTAATTGTTTTTCATGCCGAAATTGGTTGGTACATTTTTGACCAATTAAAGTGGGTTACCAAAACGTGGTGAAATAGTCTAATTTCGGATGAAAGGATGATGCCGTCACAACAACTTTGGTAGGCGCTTTGGTCTGTCAAATGCTATACCGCGGTTGACTGCTGTTTGTAACTGGGTGCTGGGAGTTTGGAAGCTTTCATATCTAAATAAACATGTCAAAGTCAAAGTGTACCAAACACTATTCTATATCCGCCAGTATAACCCAGGTCCTACATAGGTTACTGAATTTAATACCGTGTTATAAATGCGTGACGTCATTAATCTTCCCTATTGACGTCATAACAACTTCCCCTATTACCGCTGTCTCGCTAAAATTTCAGCGGCTAAAAATTTCCAGTTATCGGTTATAACACGGTTACAAACGGTTAGTTAGGGTAATACTCTAACATCTACTAGTACCAGTAAAATAACGTAGATCCTTAATCACTGCGAAGCAGTATTTAATAGTTTCAATAACTCTCTACTATTGGACATTGTGCGAAATTAAATACGTACAATAATATCCAGTTAAGTTAACTATTTTGATGTACCCACCCACAACCAACAAAAACATTCCTTATAATTGGCGCCCAACGTGGGGCTACGCAAATTGTGTGAAAATTTCAAAAAGCGAGGCCGTATTCTGTAAAAGTGTGTAATATCCTTGATAACAGGTTGCGTTTTTATTCGTCAAATTGCATTTTTTGACAGTTTATCAGAAAGTGAATAAACCGTCACTTAGGCCCGGTTTATTCATCTTTAACGGCCATTTGCACCGATATAACTTAAGGGATATTTAATCCAAGTGGAGCTTTAAATGTGACTCTTGTAGAAACAAAAGTCACATTCAAAGCTTCACTTAGATTAAATATCCCTTAAGTGATAGCCGTGCAAATGGCCATAAATAATTTTACTGATAACTATCTGTAAGATAAAACTCTGTTGTAATTTTATTGGTCCATGGACCACGAATAACTAAGTACCAGTGATGGCGTAACCAGCGTCTCGTTTCTCGCTTTGACGTAGGTCTTTGCACTACAGGTTATGATTCCGTCGTTTTTTTTTTTACGCATACTTGTCGTACATTAATTATCATTCTTAGGGCGAGTTCTCATGAGCGTAAGTTGACATACCTGGCGTAATCACGTGATAAAATGGTTGGGTTTTATTGGTAAAATATTCGCCATGCTGGATATTTTACCAATCAAATTACACCATATTATCACGTGATTACGCCAGAAATGTTAACTTACGCTGATGAGAACTCGCCCTTTAACAACCTCTTTACCTATTGGTTTCGTGCGGTACGTGACCATATTGAAGATAACATAACCTAAAAATTAGTGTATTAAACCAAATTTTCGTGACGAATGTAGTTCACCATTCATCAATGTTCATCCAAGAACGAACTATAGTCCGTCTCGTGACGTCATGAGTTTGAACGCTGGCTAAAAGTTGCATCCATGCTTCCGGCGAATTACGTTAATGTGACGTCAAAAGTTTTTCGCGAAAGCGTTTCTTTTCATGAATAATCATGAAATCATGGAAATAGTTTGTCGCGAAAATTAGGGTAATCCCTTAGAGCAGGTAAAGCGCTGTCCTACGGACATAAGGAGTAGGAACGCTCCATTCTGCTTATGAAACTAAAGTGAAGCCAAGTTTTTGGCAGGTGTTTGGCACCAAAATACAGGTAAAGCATTGAATTGCCATAACCGCCATTTTTTGTAGGCCAAAATACCTGGAAAAAAACGGCTTCATTTTCCAAATCCAGGTTACTACTCCTTTACCTTTACCTGCTCTAAGGGTAATCCAATCCATTTGTCAAAAAGGAAAATTCAATATGGCGTGGCGGCCAAAGCAAGTTTGTTTTGAATATAATTTTACGCGTATTTTAAATTATTTTGCTTAGAGTTTTGCTTGCAACTTTCATTTTGATTATTTAATAAAAGATTTGTTGCCTAGGTACCTAAACTATTAAGTCTGAAACTAAGATATTTTTTTGTGTTTTTTGGCCTATGTGTGGCCGCCACGCCATCTTGAGTGTCACGCAATTTGGATTGCTTAATATATAAAACCAATTTAATCAAAATTAAAGGTGTTTTTTCTCGCTTAAATTGGTTAAACCAGGTTGAACCTAATTCGAAATATTACATTTTTGCGTTGAACTAATGACGTCATAACGAAACTCTTTGAAATAATTTTGAAACAAGTTTTTGCATCGGTTCAAAAACAAACGCATGCGCAATAGTTTAGGAAATTTGACAGGTTGTTGTTTATGTTTATACTTGTGTCTTTTGTAGGAGGTTATAGAATCATGAATAGAATACTTTTGAAAAATGGAAAATAGGCTATGGCTAATTACCAGAAAAAAAAAACAAACAAAAATCCTAGGTTATGTATGATTAAATTCTTGGTTTGAAAACCTAATTTTTTCTCGAATGAAAGTAATGACGTCATTTTTGAACAGGTGGTTTCAAAAACATATCGAGCTGCTGGAACCGAGAAAAAACACTTTAAATAATCCAGCATCAGGCAACCTACCTCTGTCAAATAACCTTGACTCAAAATAGCGAAAAATGACAAGACTTGTCAATCGCGTGTCCCACTTTCAATGCTCACAACTGTCTATTCTAGAAAACGATCGCTGGCGCAAACAACTAACGCGACACCTCTAATGACGTCGGTAGCGGTGCAACATATGACCTTGATTCCACAGATCGAGGTTACTGAGAAATTCTGTAGTAGTGTGTAATAAGTATCCTTGATAACAAATTGCGTTTTTATCCGTATAAAGATTGCATTATTTGACAGTTTATCGGAAGGTGAATAGTAAGATTCCTAAAGTTAATAGGTTGTCTGCCAGGGTTGGGATCACGATAAGTAGAATTCTACTTTCATGACGTCACCCGCGACCTATTTATCGCGTACACTACAGGCGATGATCACTGTTGCTAGGGCTGGGCTGGGATCACGACGAGTAGAATTCCACTAGAATTCTACTTTCATGATGCCAAGTTGCCTAGCAATCGTCATCATCACCTGCACTGTACGTGATAATTAGTTTGAAAGTGACGTCATAATAGTAGAATTCTACATGTCGTGATCCCAGCCTAGTTTTGGAATGTTTTTAAATATGGTTCAACAGAAACAGACGTTTTAAGCCTAGTTCTCATAGAGCGTAAAATCGCGTTGCGAATGCGGAATATCGCTTTCTGTTCAAGACATAATTTTTGCCGGTTCACATGAAGCGAGATTCCGCAAGCGGATTTTTAGTAACATTTAGGGTATTTCACATTATATTTTAGTGATTTTTATCAAATGTCGTACTATACATCTCACAGGTGACAGTAAAAAGTGACGGAGTATAAAAACTCACGCAAAAGTTGAAAATAATTTAACTTTTTTGCGATATTGCAAAAAATTGACATTTCCCCGTTGCTGGACAAATTTCAAAAATTCCGCGTCCGCACGCGATTTTTCGCTGCATGAGAACTAGGCTTTATGGATATTTGCATTACGTCGAGGTACCCTAGATGACGTCATAAAGTTATCAGGCAACCTACCTCTCTCAAACAACCTTGGTCTCGCCCAGAATCCAATCTACTACTGCCATCTCATTTGTGAAAACATACTTTTAAAATGGCTGCCCAAAGTCTAGTTTGATATTTTTGAAACAAAAAGTTAGCTAATATGGCCGCTTATGACAATTTTTACTTACCTTTGTTGATATTTGAATGGGAAAAATCCCTACTGTTTATAGTAAATTCAATGCCTCCACTTAAAGGAACATTCTAAACGTTTTTCCGCTCTAAAATCAGCTGGAAATCGGGAAATATTCAATGCGCATGGAGAGACAACTGTTATGTATGATAAGTGATAAATACAATTTTAAAATGGCCAAGGATATTACATACTACCTTTGATAGCTCCCATAAAGCCTGTGATAATATTTTTTACGAAAATTTTTTTTTTTTTTTAATACTGCTGTGTTGCTTTTGGTAAATTCAGTGCCCAACATCACAATCAACTTTCGCATTTCACAATAAATATAATACGCTTTATCAATGTGACGTCATAATTTGACAGCCTGCATCTAAACAAACTTTCGGTCTGTTTTAATTTACACTTCTTTCAACATGTGACGTCAGCACTATGGGTTTCGTGCGGCACGTGACTACATTGGAAGTAACATAACCTAAAAATTAGTATATTACCATAAAAACAAATCGGACACGGTCAGGTTGTCTTACCTTAAGTGTCAATTTAGTGACGTCACGTGCAGGAAACCAATTGCGCAAACGACCCGTCAAAACATAAATTTAATATGGCGGCAATAGTATTAGTATCAATTACAATAACATCTGCTTGGGCGCCCCAGGGCGCCCTGGATGGCGATTTTGAAATGTGTCAACCGTTCTTTTTAATCGGGGCGTCAAACCCCGGGGTCGTCTATCCCCACCGCTAGCGCCTCAGCGAGGCGTCAAAGCTCCACAGCTCCAGTGTTTGAACTGTCACTAATGTCAGATAATTATATGTCCTCTAATTACCGTTCTTTTCAGACCGTGCGCTGATGTGCCCGGGGTTTCAAAGCTCTGAAAAGAAAGCACCTATGTTGAGCTTGAGGCACCCCAGATGACGTCATAAAAGTTATCAGGCTTTAAATAACCTTGCCCTTTGCCTATTATGTTAATCAAAATTAAGTAATATTTTTCATTGTAATGCATATTCTACAAAACATCCGCTAGCGCAAACAATTACGTTGATGACGTCGGCAACGGTGCAACACTATATGAACTTGATTCCAAAAAATAGGACCGATGAGCAATTCTAGAATAGTGTGTATCCTTGATAATAGATTGCGTCTCTATCCGACAGATTGTATTATTTGACAGTTCATCATAATTTTGCAGAAAAATACATAGTAAAATCGTGAATACAATAATACATAATTTACCATAATTTGACCTCTTTGTATTTTTCTCAACTTTATAATACTCCTTCTTTTATTTTCTCATGTTTTTGCTGTTTAGAGGTTTGAGAGTTATGCGTGACGTCATAAATCCGGTTGCGTGGACGGTTGATCGATTGCCGAGCCGCAGTGGCACTGACGTTCTTTTCTATCGTTTCTATCTCACTCTCACTCACGTCAGCGGACAGCACGTCACAATAAAAGAACTGTCAGTACTGTCATGGTCACAGTTTGTCACTTTGTCATTTCATTGATGTCACGTACTCCAGATGCGTCATCAAGTTACCCATTACCAGACAACTTATGAACCTTAGGAACCTGGACCTTTACCATAATTTTTTGTAAAATAACATAATTATGACTTTCATGTACCATAATTTCAAAATCAAAATCGCGGAGAATGGAAGCGGACGATCATTCTTAACCTGTAATTACTTTTCAAGTTAATGCGCTTTCGGTTATATATAGCTATATTTAATGACGTCACTAACAAGCCCTTTGCAACGTCATCGTTTGACATTTGTAAAAGCCAGTATTTACCCACCTCGAGAGCAGGGTTATTAACCCCTCTTCTATCAAATTAAACAGAAAATAAACGGGAATCGTCAAGTTGCCAAAATAGTCCTTGGGCTCAAGCAAGGGGGCATTTGCCCTTCCAAAGACTTTTGAATTTTATAAATAATTCTTCGAAATTAAAATAAACAGTCCTAAAAACACCGTTAAAGAGACTTAAAAAAGGGGCGTGGCACCCAAAAATTTCGGTTATAAGTGAGCTTGATGTCCATCCCTTCTCAAGGTTAACCAAAGGGATAACCACGGTAAAGATCGGTGGTTCACTTTAAATCGGCTGTTGTCTGGTGACAAGGTAGTTTGAGGGAGTTAAGCTTAGTACTCATAACTGCGAAATTCGCATTTTTTTGACATTGCTTCGACAATTTGACGTTTGATACACGCATTAAACGTCAAATTGTCAACGCAATGTCAGAAAAATACGAATTTCGCAGTTATGAGTACTAGGCTTTAGATTGCTGATAACTTTATGACGTTATATGGGGTGCCTCAACATTATCAACTTTAGGAACCTTGGTCTGGTGAAGGGTGACTTGATGACGTCATCTGGGATGCCTCATGAAATTTGCATTGTGTTGAATTCATAGAAGTTATCAGACAACCTACCTCTGTCTATAACAACCTTGGGTAAATAGACTATTCCTTAGATCGGTTTATTTATCTTCAGATAAACTTACTGGTACTTGCAAAATAAACTTAATGTTCAATAATTCTATATTTCAGACAAAAAACATAAATTTTCTTCTCCTCGCTCACTTTCAGTCATATATGAATGAAGTGTAGCGAATGCTGCTTTTACTCAATCTCCGTCTCTTTTTGCTGCATTAAAGCTGAATATGTTTATCTCAAAAAGCTTCAGCAAAAGCATTTGCTTCTGTTTTATTCATATGAGCCCCTAAACTGTTGATACTATAAAAACTTTTCAATTTATCGCGATTTATGAGTAATAGAGAAAATGCAAGAGCCTGGAATAAACAAAAAATTAAAAATATAGTGAAAATAGACAAAAAATGGTAAAGAATCTATGAAAAAACATCTTAATTCCTAAAGAAACTTCTATAGAATAAACTTATTATTCTTATTCTAGAGAAAATGTAAAACATTTCTTCGAATGCTTCTGCGAAGTGGTACCGCCTGCCGACGACAAAGACGCCTGGATAATCCAGCAATACCCGGACAAATACAAGGACCAAGAAGTACTCAAGTCTGTACCGAAATTTGCATATCCTTATAAATTTGAAAAGTAACTCTGGTTAACTAATCAATAATAAATCCCATAATTAAATTATTTCCCATATTGTAGTACAGTAATTCAACATTACTCCTTCGTCCTGACGGACTTGGAATCGAAATGGACTTTCGGGTTTTGCAGGCACGATCCCAAATCGGAAACTGCCATCGTGGTGCTCAGCTATTTACCTTGGCATCAGTCATTTTACAAGTAAAAATCAATCAATATATGATAATTATTGATTGATATTATTATTATGAATTTTTTAGATTTCTAGATACCACTGCAGTGTTAATGCACAGTTCCCGTACCGAAGATTTAAGCGAATTTTTAGCTACAGTTTATACTACAAAAATAGCGGAACCAGGCAAGAAAATCGTGGTTGCTTTTAATAGGGGCCAAAGTGTAAGGACACAAGCCGTAGTCCAAAGGTAAAGGTAAATTTATCACCTGTCCCTATCAAATAGCACTGAAAGATGATAAATTTTACCTTTACCTTTGGACATCGGATAATATATTTGAAAAAAAAAAATGAATTGTTGTTTGATTTTACATTTCAGACATTTAGTTTTGATATTCCTAGACCCTTTCAATTGCCCAGTATACCGGAAAATGTAAGTAAAGTCCGTTGCATGAAAGATAAAGGACACACTGCATTATTTGTTGTCTTTGTCTGGACAACAGACTAATTTGTATTTCTCTATTGTTTTCATGAGTTTGCGTCGTTCTTTATCTTCCATGCTGCGCACTTGACAAACTTTGTGCTAAAATTTTTTTGTAGCGTAATCTAACAGAATACTACAATGCGGTGGACACAAACAACATGATGATCATATTTGCATCGATGCTTTACGAAAGGAGGATAATTTTCATATCGAAACATCTGAAACGATTGAGCGCGTGCGTACAATCCGCCAATGACGTCATTTATCCGATGATTTGGCAACACATTTACATTCCAGTATTACCACAAAGCCTAGTGGATTATCTTTCGGCGCCGATGCCGTTCCTTATTGGTGTACCAGAGGATATTTTTAAGGTAAAGATTTATATTTTGTCCAATGAACCTATGGAGTAAACATAGCACTTGTACAATCTTTCAAAAAATCATTCTACAATGTAAAGCGAGCTGAAAATTGAACCTTTTGAAGGGTGTGTTGCTTTTTTTTACTCCTTAGGTTGGTTGGACCAATGACCTGTTAACACTATTAACACAGATAGACGGAACATCCCATTGACATTAGTGATCAATATCCAATACCAAATATCGCAGAGATATTAGATAAACCAAGACATTGTCAGTATTTTACAATTTTGGATTTAGCCATTGGGTTTCACCAGATTTTGAAATGGAGCCAAAAAGTATTCCTAAAACAGAATTTAATATAGACCATGGACATTACGAATATACACGTATGCCCTTTGGCTTAAAAAATGCTCCTGCTACTTTCCAACGTACAATGTATAATGTTTTACGAAAATTACTAGGAAATGTATGTCTATTTGACCAGCCTTTAAATAAACTTCTTATAATTAGTATTTGATCAATTAATATTTTTCAATATGACAAATCTGAATTTTTACAGAAAAGTGTCAAATTTCTAGGATACACCATAACTCCAGAAGGTGGCGCACCAAACCCTCGAAAAATAGAGGTACCTAGTCAAAAATTTCAGAATATTCAAAACCCCCAAAGAAATTAAGTCATTTCTTGGCCTCGTACATAGGCGCAACTAGAAGGTGCTAAGCACCCCTAAAGCAAAAATTTGCACCCCCATTCGACATCCCACCTACAGTGGTACTACCTAACACTAGTATGAAAAATTAGTGCAACCAAATTATTATTTTTTTTTTGCACCAACCGGGGCCGGTATTACAATATTACCTTAAAATCAAGACTTACCTCAAAATATACGGTTTTTATGTTATATTTAGGATGACGTCATCGGACAAGATCAGACAATGTTGTCAATGTCGTTTATTCCATATCTTGGTGACATTGAAATACGGGCCCTTAAAGAATCATTGGAATCTCAAATATATAAATTAATTAACTGCGTATTATACAGGGTGTTTCTAAATATCATGTACAAACGGACAAGGGTGATTCTTTGTTTTTTTTGTGACTGAAATCTGAAATATGTTCTAGAAAATTGACTTATTTAAACAAAATTTTAAAAAAAATCACCCTCTTACATTTTCATTTTTTTCTGGAAAACTGGCAAAGTGAAAATTTTGAAAATTTTCCAGAAATAAGAGAAAAATGAGGAGCTCATTTTACGAAAATTTCAAAATTTTTCAGTGAAAAATTTTGAAAAACTAACTTTTTTAAGCAAAATTAAGGAGAATTCACCCTCTTACGTTTTAATTTTTTTCTAGAAATCTGCCAATGAAAATTTTACTGAACTGTGATAGGTATACGGTATACTCCCATTAAACAAATGTTGAATATTCTGAAGTGGTTGAATCTGAAAAGAACAATACACAATTCCGAAACGGATACAGCAAACATCTCAGAAACAGAAACAGTTGATACTTCTGTGAATAAAATCCTATTTTAAGAGCATCCTATGTTGATAAGGCAGTGAATACATTTAAAAATCAAGTTATATTTAAATGGACAGCTAAAGAAAAACCTTATATAGCTCAGTTTCCTTTGGGTGAAGACGTGGCAACTAATACACATATTTAACAGCTTTATTCTGTGACACCATAAGAGGTTAAGGTGGTTTTGATTTATGTTGCCCCATATAATGGTTAAGTATAACAGATGTTGAGTTTATTAGGCGGTAGTATACCATTTTACGCTGTTGTATATTTAAATATTTAACAATTTTTCCATGCCAAGCAATTTTGTGACATGTAGCTAATATAATAGGTAAGACGATTTTCTGTGTACAATCCAAGATTTTGTTTGCTAAATTTGAATTTCCCAAAGTTCAATTGCTGCAGTTTAGCTATATATTCTGTGGTTCAGGAAAAGTTTGTGACGTCTTAGCCATTTGTCTATGTCGTTCAATTTTTTTTTTTATACTGTGTTGTAGTGTTTTGGGATCTTTTCCTGCATACAACAATCCTGTGTTATCTGCATATAGGTATAGTGTCGATCTTGTGATCTTAAAGGTAAATTGGAAATTGAGTTCATATACCTATATAACAAACAATGTGGGTCCCAATATATAGATTCTTGGGGAATTCAACATGTTATATCTTCTGTTGAAGTACTAGGCACATTGTTATATATTCCAGAAATTCCATTTTGTTGTAGCACTAAGTATTATGAGAATGTCATGGTCGACTGTATCAAAGGCTTTCTGCAAGTCCAGTGATACAAGCGGAGTTATAAGCGAAAAAGTGGCCTCGTGTCGGGTACCCACAATTTTTTTCTGGTCAAAATCGGAATTTCCTTTTTTATTTTTTTTCGGCCTTAAGATGTGCCGTAGCGAGGAGGGTCAAATTAACTTTTCGTCGTATTTTTTGCTCCTCTATCCGATAGAATTTTTATTTTTTTTGAAATTCAAAATTTGAATTTTTTTCGACAAAAAAATTCAAATCGAAGGCTATCCCCTTCGATTTATTTTTATTAAATTTCAAAGCGTCCTAACTCGAAAACGAAAAGCTCGGGAAAAAAACTTCAAATGCAAAACTTATAGATCTTGTCGAGTACTATAAAAAAGCCTATAAGAAGTATCCCGCCACGGGGCACCGTTTTCGAGAAAATCGACCTCGAAAATTTTAACAAAATTACAAAGAATTTCAACTTTGACAGCTGATATCTCAAAGACGAAAACGGCCTGGAATCTCAATAAAAAAACATTTTGTAGGTAATTTCATCCTCTTTCAAAAGAGATATGACTCGACTGAGCTATAAGCGGAAAAGTAACGTCGTGTCAGATCGCCGAAATTTTTATCTGACAAAAATCGAAATATCCTTTTTCAATTTTTTCCCAGCCTTAAAATGCGTCATAGCAAGCAGGGTCCTATAAGCTTTTCAACGTTTTTTTTGCTCCTCTATCAAAATCAAGAAAGATGGGGAGGCTAACTTTTTTCCGATACATCGGAGAGAACTGAAACTCGAAATATCAACTAAAAATCACATTTTGAATATTTCCGATTTTTGATTAGCTCCAAATTATCGGCTGACCAATAGAATTATGGACTGGGCCCCGTGATTGAAATAACTCCGGCCCTTTGGGCTCGCGTATATCTCCGGCCCTTAATATTTCCGATTTTTGATTAGCTCCAAATTAATTAGGCATCAGGAATAAAAAACTGAGATTGAATTATCAATTTTTTGGGGAAGGCTTAGCTTCCCCTGCCTCCTCTGACGAGCCGCCACTGGGTCGGACGATATTTTAAGAGAACCCGCAGTAACGACACAAACAACACAAAATCGATTATGGAGGCCTATGTTCAACAGTGGACGCAGAGGGCTGGGTGATGATGATAATACTCATTGTCAGATAAAAAATATTTAACAATAATAGACAATTTTTCTAGATTTGCCGCAGTATACCCGGTGAATAAAACATCGATGAAGATTTGTCAAATTTTAATAAAACCCTTTGCACATCATGGTACACCAAGTAAAATTACCACTGATAATGTACAATCTTTCAAGAGAAATCTAATACAAGACCTATGTAAAACGTATAAGATTGAATTGCATTTTACTACACCGTACAATCTAAATTCAAACTTGCTCATTGAAAGATTTCATTCGACGATGAAATTATGACTGGAAACGATTGGTTAAGAAATAGCTGAGCTATAAGCGAAAAAGTAACGTCGTGTCAGATCGCTGAAATTTTTATCTGACAAAAATCGAAATATCCTTTTTCAATTTTTTCCCAGCCTAAGATGCGTCATAGCAAGCAGGGTCCCATAAACTTTTTAACGTTTTTTTTGGAAATTCAGAAAAAAAAAATTCAAAATCAAGAAAGATGGGGAGGCTAACTTTTTTCCGGTACATCGGAGAGAACTGAAACCTGAAACTCGGAATATCAACTAAAAATCACATTTTGAATATTTCCGATTTTTGATTAGCTCCAAATTATCCGCTGACCAATGGAATTATAAACTAGGCCCCGTGATTAAAATAACTCTAGCCCTTCGGGCTCGCGTATTTATTTTATTTATTTATTTATTATTATTACAAACATTACATAATTTACATAATAGCCAGTATGAATAAGAGCACGATGAATTTTAAAAATTTGTGTGTGCTCCCAACTGACACGTGTTTGTTTAAATACTAAATAACTAAGTTGTATAAGTATTATAATTATTCAGTTTGAATCAAACCAGACTAGTTTATTAACAATCAGATCAAAGCTTTGTTTCACCCAAGCTTTTATTTTGTATTTATTTATTTTAGATAAGTATCGATTTTTAAGGTGTATAGGTAAGATATTTATTAATCTTGGTCCAGTAAAATTAATATTTCTCTGCGTGAAGGAAAACGATTGTAAGGTGGTACAAAGATCCGATCTGGTCACAGCTCTAGTGCGTATACAATGACTAACCGTGTTTTTAAATATATTAAACTTTAATGAAAATTGTATTATTTTTATACAATATAACTGTCGAACATTTAATAATTCCGAATTCCTAAACAGTAGATCGCTAGGGTACATTTTAAATAACAACACCTTTAAAATATATTTTTGTGCCACTTTTAAAGGTAACAACACAGACTCACATGCTGAGCCCCAGCATAAAATACCATACTTTAAAATGGATTCAGCTAAAGCGAATCTGTGAAAACTTATAAACCAGCTTCCTTATTTTTCTGCTCACATAATCCATGTGAACATCCCATTTAAGAGGCCAACAACAAGCCGTTAAAAATTGAGAAAAAGGGTTAATTTCCTGAGACGAGAACTCACTTATTTTGTAATATTTTTTGACCGGATTAGAAAATAATAAAAGATAAAAATCTAAAGAATAATGCTGTTGTTTTAGTTTTTCGAAAAAAAAATTGCAAATTGAAAATATCACGACCTAAATACTGGAAAAAAAGCATCATTTCTATCGCTC